GACAGAAGCGCCATCATCTCCGAGACTGTCTGAGGTTTGCGTTCGGCTACGGACACATGGGAGTAAGAATGGAAGTGGATTAGGGTGTAATTTGGGGCTCGTACTCGGTGGCGGAAGTCGGTTTCTTGCAGCTCACACTTGCCAGAGGTTTTCCAGTCGATACCGGTGTTTGTGGGGTATCATTTATATTATCCATGACATGCGAGGCAACAGAGGAGGCTCGTGAATGAGATACTCTCTTGCCTCGGCTTACAGGCTTCTTTCCGCTTGCAGGGGTATCATGGGTATCGGGTTTTGCACCCTAGGGGCCTGGCCGGCTTGAGAAGTGTCCAAGGTGCCGGTATTGGTTGCGTTGTGCAGCACGCCGTGGATGTTCCCAATGGTATAGTACACTACCAATCACCAACGATGGCTCATTCGCCACAGAACCCTAATGCCGTCCGGCAGCAGAATGCCAGCCATGGCTTTCCGCTCGCCAGGCGCCTCCAAGCCTAAGTCTGCACTGCCGCCAAAATGTCTTGTCATTACCCACATCGCATGTGTTTAATTTGTTCTACTTCTGTGACCCACTTTGGACTTCAGTGTATCGAACAGCTATGTATTGTACTGTACTATCCATGATCCAGTGTAACTACACAGGTACAGCGCTGGCCCATGCTTTCTGGGTGTACATCTAGACGTGCCCCCCTGGTTGGTGCGCCATGTGTGCGTCCGGGAAGCACACCCCCACAAGTAAGGCTCATGTAAGTCAACAATTGTGGCCAGTCCAGAATGTGTGCGTCCGGGATGCACACCCTCACGAGTAAGGCTCAGGTAAGTCAAAAGTTGTGGCCGGTGCAGAATGTGTGCGTCCGGGAAGCACAACCTCACGGGCAAGGCTCATGCAAGTTGAGAGTTGCGGCCGGTGCAGAATGTGTGCGTCCGGGAAGCACACCCCCACGAGCAAGGCTCAGGTAAGTCATGAGTTGCGGCCAGTGCAGAATGTGTGCGTCCAGGAAGCATGCCCTCACAAACGACACTTGTTAGAAAGCCGCCTCCGACTCTTTCCATCCATAGTCTGGCATTATGCGTCCGGGACGTACATGCGCGGCCCCTAGGCCTTTTCTTGCCCTCTTTCTTGCACCTCTTCCTGTGTCTTCCCTACACTCGCTCTTTGTACACTCTCCCTGCGGCCTTTCCTACGGCCTTTCCTACACCTTTCCTACAGCCTTTCTTATGATTTCTCCTACAGCCTTTCCTACACCTTTTCTACGGCCTTCCCTACGGCCTTCCCTATGGCCTTTCCTACGGCCTTCCCTAGGGTTTTCCCTAGTGGAATCCCCTACCTAGTCTTCCCTACCCAGTCCCATTAACCTAACGCCATTCCACCCAAGTCATCCAAGTCAGCCACAAGTCCTTCAGTAGGCAGGTCGACAACAACACCACCTAACCATCATCAAGGGCTGCATGAGCTGTCCAATAGGCTGATTGCCATGGGCAGGCATAAGTGGGAGTGTCGACAAGTAGATGCAACACGCATCTGCACAAAGTGTGTATCACTCGGACCTAAGACTCATAACCTACCATTGATTGTGGCGTCAAATATGATAATGGGTGTAAGCCATCAGTGCATTAGTGTCAATGAGGACACAAGCCTCCAGCGGAATCACGTGTCAGCCCAGCACTCCTCTGATTCCAAAACTGCACCCATCAATGCAAACCTGTCGAAGAGCAAGAGTTGTCATTGGGTCTGCTACAATCGTCTGTGCAGTGCGCCAAGAAATGAACAACACCTCTTCTGATGAACCGCTGCCATACAGGAAGAAAAAGACACTGTTGTGTGTAGTGGACTGAGTGAATCAACGGAGACGAGGGTGAGCAGACTGCTGGAGACGTTATGCGAGGTTTGGGAGCAACAATTGTCAATGGTATACAGAGCAATACAAATGAAGTATTTACATGGAAGTGCCAGAAGTGTCGCACCAGGATGGTTGCTTGTGCACAACTGTTCTTTTTAACACTGTGATGTCAGGAATGGCCCTCTGCATCCCCACAACATTAAACACCCAGGAGGACTACTTCACCACCCCACAGCATGTCCTGCACGCACAGTAGGGGGTATACAGCGGCCGGTCCTGCTTACGGGGTGGTGCCCGAACCTGCCCTTTCATAGTCAGAGCTATCGGGAGCCCGTCGAATTTAGAACCCAAAAATAGCATAACAAAATGCCATTCACCAGCTGTGCCACCCATTTACCTTTGCCAAATTGCGCCGCGACGGCGGTTGGCGAATGCTTGAGCGAGTTTTGCCCACAGCTGTACAAAAGAGCGCGCGAGAGACGTCGATGCTGCGGATGAGCACAGCGACATTGTAGATGGCAGTCTCAGAGATGCGCTGCGAGAGTCTTGAACAGCCAAAGCGATGCTAGTTTTGGAGTGGTGAGGACTGGGAGAGCTCGGGAAGACGCGGCCGAGGGCGATTGAATGAGCGCGGCACAGCCGCCAGCAGTCGAAGGCGGAGGTATATTATTATCATTAACATTCATTGAGCTGGGTTGATCCTGTTTTCCATCGATGGCTGCTCCTGCTGTTCCTGCACGCCCCTTCAGCGACTACGACGACTACCTCTCGCAGTACACGTCGCCCCCGCCGCCCGCCGTCCCTCCTCTCCCGCCAGGTTTCGATCCCGCCCAGGCTGATCCCGCCATGTCGGCGCCCCATTTCGAGGATCCCCTGGTAGCGCCTCGCCCCCATAAACTGCAGCCGGACCTGCCTGCGAACGTGCGTCTCTTCTTTCTTTTCTTCCTTCTTACAGCTCATCGCCCCTCCTCCCAGATGGCTCGCAATCTGGACGCCCAACTCGCCCACGACGCACGCAGGGGACATTCTCCCGCCCCCAACCTCGCCCCGGGCTTCGTCATACCGCGCGCACACAGCCGCGGTCCTAGCCCTCAATCTCAGGGTGGAGAGTGGAGTCCCTGGGCCCCAGTAGCCGGACAGCCGCCCTATCCCCAAGGCCCGCCCCAGCAAGCATACCGTTCCGCGCCTCCAGTGCGCTCAGCGTCCACCTACTCGACCCACGATCCCTCGGTTCAGCCTCAGCAACCAGCTAACACACATGCACCCCCATCGCTCACCGCGCCTCTTCCCACCATCCCTAGCCTGTTCGCCCAGCTTCCGTCCGTCGAGCAGCCCAACTACGACCCGGGCTTCAAGGTCGCCTGGTGCCGCGACGTCCTCGCCCTCGTCGACCGCGCACAGCAGCTGCATCAGCCCGACAGCAGCGCCACCGAGTTCCCCGAGGGTCCGGCCCGTATAGAGGACCCGGAGCTGCAGCGCCTTGTCGACATTGCCCTGCCTCTTTTGATCCGCCTGTCGTCGACCTCTCCAGCGCAGACGCCCGCTCCCCCACACGTCTCAGAGTCTATCTATCTATTGGCAACCTGCGAGGCCTCAGGCGCGTATCCACAGCACGTCCAACGCGACCCGCGCGCTGCGTTCCGCCACTTCGAGCAGGCGGCCAAAGCCGGTCACTACACAGCCTGGTTCCGACTTGGGCGCGACTACGAAAATTTCAACGATGCAGAACATGCCCGACAGTGTTTCGAGCGCGGTGTCAAACGTGGGGTGGAGAGCTGCATCTACGTAAGTTCTGTCTCGATGCGTACATTCCCCGTCTGACGTGCCTCCAGCGCATGGGCATGGCCCACCTCATGGGGCAGCTCGGCCTCCCTGCCAATCCCGAGGCGGCACTCCCACTCCTCCAACGCGCCGCGACGGTAGCGACGATCGAGTGCCCCCAGCCTGCGTATGTCTACGGCCTGCTGCTCCTCGGGGAGTTCTCGCACGTTCAAATCCCGCCAGAGTATTTCGCGCCCTACATCGCGCCCGGCTCCTCACTGCCAGTGGAGGCGCGCAAGCACCTTGAGCGCGCTGCCTACCTAAACTTTGCGGCCGCGCAGTATAAGCTCGGGCACGCATACGAGTTCGCCATTCCGCCGTTCCCATTCGATGCTCTGCTGAGCGTGCAGTACTATTCCCTCGCGAGCCAGCAGGGCGAGGTCGAGGCGGACATGGCGCTCAGCAAATGGTTTCTGTGCGGCGCGGAGGGCTCATTCGAAAAAGACGAGGGGCTTGCGCTGACCTTTGCCGAAAAGGCGGCGCGTAAGGGCCTGCCGAGCGCCGAATTCGCAATGGGTTACTACTCAGAGGTCGGCGTCGGTCTGCCGAAGGACATTGAGGTCGCGCGAAAATGGTATAACAGGGTGAGTAAGCTATGTCAACACCTGCACGCTCCGATGCTCATGCTGCGGCAAGGCCGCGCAACACGGAAATCCCGACGCCGCGGAGCGCCTGAGGGTACTTTCGGAGCCGGAGCCGAACGCGCTCTCGCGGGAACAGCATGAGTCGCTTGCGGACACAACCATCGTCCGCAAGCGTACGCTCGCCAGGCAACGATCAGACGCGCGCCGCGGTGGGCCTGGTGGGCGCGCGCGTGCTGCGCCCAGTGCGATGCAAGGAGAAGCTATCATGGAGGACGTTCGACGGCGCTCGCAGTCGTCTGGCCGTCAGCCTATCGCTCCCAATGCACCTGGTTATGGCCCATCGCCAGTCATGAACCCCAGCACTTCCGCGCCACAAATCAACGGCGGCTACCAGGGCCCTCCTCCCGGACAGTACCCCGCAAGCGCATCGCAGCCGCATATGCATGCCGCAGGTGCTGCGGGAGCGCCGCCGCAACGCGCGTTCGCCAATGCACCACGGTACAGCCTCATCGATCCCGGCTCACGCCCCATGTCCCCATCAAGCAGGCCTGGGACTGCAGGCTCCGGGGCACCGCGCACGCCCACCAGGCAGGCATCTGGGCCAGGGCCTGGCGTGTCGCCAGCCGGCGAGCCGGAACCACCATCTGGACCTAAGGCACGCCCTGCGCAGACGTTTGAGGAGATGGGCATCACCTCAGGGAAGCTGCAAGAAAAAGAGTGTGTCATAATGTGAGGGCGCGAGCGCATTGGACGGACATCCCGGCTATTGGTGGATTTAGGACTGGATCTGGACTGCTCGTTCCCATGTTTGCATCTTTCTCCTTTTCGCTTGCTGTCAGCGTCTTCGTCACGCTTCCTAACTTATACTCAACGTACGGCATCCATCGGCGTCAGCATTGAACCCAAAGCAACGAGCGGACACTATTTTTATTTTAAGAACACCGCGTATAATTGATATCTTGATCCTTATACTCACGATACACCGGCATGATGACATCCTCCTTGCCGTACGCATGCATGACCACACCGAGCCCGGGACTCCGCGGGATGATCTGCATCTCCCCCCTGAGTTCGTCAGTATGGCGTCCATCGATCGGCGGTGCAGATGACTGCACGCGGCCCGAATACTGGCCGGTCCTAATGTTGTTGGTCCTAATAATACTGGCCGGTTCTCGAATCTTGGTCGAGTCATATTGTCCCTCACAAAGAGGCTACTCGTGCTGTTGATCGTTCGAGATGACCTCACTGGTAGGGACCCAGCGTGCGGTTCGCTGGTACCCGCCAGCTTATGATATCCGGGTCGAAGACGTGCCCATTCCGCAGTACGTCAGGCTGTGTCAACCACGTCGTATTCGTATTTATAGCGAGCTGACGTTTTAGAATCCTCGAACCGGACGACGCGATCGTAAAGATCAAGGTACGGCACTGTCGCGAGTGTACCAGCCATTCTGATCGTGTTTGCGCAGCTGGGCGGCTTGTGTGGGAGTGATCTCCACATCTATAGAGGCCATGAGGACGTTGACGCTGTGTGCGTGTGTCGGATCGTCGCCCTGTGGTTTTGGGAGCTGATTCGTCCACTTATTGCAAAGTCTCACTTGCGGACACGAGTTGATCGGGGAAGTCGTCGCCCTAGGCTCGAACTTTCACCCTGATGCGGCGGGCAGACCCGAGTTGTATTCAACTCTGCGGGTGGGTGACAAAGTAGTGTCGCCCTTTACCGTCTCTTGCGGAGAATGCCAGTAAGTGCCTACGGCTTCTCAGTCGACTCGGCTGATGAGCACATTCGCAGCTTCTGTCGGGTCGGCTTTACCTGTCGATGCGTGCACTCCTGTCTGTTCGGTATCCCGACGCTCCCAGGAGGCCAGGCACAATATGCCCGCATTCCCAAGGCAGGCGGAACACTGTTCAGTCTCCGCCATCTGTCTGAGACACACAACGTGGATGTCTCCCGACTTTCCGACAGCTCCCTGATCCTGCTCGCGGACATCCTTCCCACCGGAGTGTTCGCGGCGTTGCAGGCGCTGCAGCATCCAAAGCTGTCGCCCATGCTGATCGGGTGTTCGTACCCCAATAGCACGCTCATTCCTAAGGGACATGCCACGGAAGAGACGAACTCGATCGCCTTGCTGGCTCAGGATCGCGTCCTAACGATCGCTGTCATCGGACTCGGACCCGTTGGTGTCGTAGGTCTCATCAGCGCTCACGGAACAACCGCGGTCTGATAACCCTATTATTCGAGTGTGCCGCCGTGAGCTTGCTCGATATGCTGAGCCGCCTGGAAGCAGAAAACGGGATCCACTTCCACATAATCGGTGTTGACCCCGTCGAATCGAGAAGAGTCAAGATGGAGGCCGTGTACTCCACCATTACAAGGGGACAAGGCCCGCAACAGCTCACTGTCACATCCATTGACGGAGCCAAGTCCCTTACAAACAAACTGACGAACGGTGCCGGCTGCAACGCAGTGCTGGAGGTAGGCACCATCGTTCCTACTGTGAATCTTTAGGGCATTGACTACTACCTCCCAATAGGTTGTGGGTCAAAGCAATGCTCTCACACTATCTTATGAGCTCGTACGGCCCTTTGGGCTGATCAGCTCTGTCGGTGTGCACCAGGAGCCTCCTATGCCGTTCACTGGGCGAGATCTGTACGACAAGAACGTGTCGTTTGACTTCGGGCGCTGCCCAGTCCGTGCGATGTTTCCTATCGCCCTGGATATCTTGTTGAAGCGGCAGGACGTTTTCGGAGGGGTAGGTGAACCCGCGAGTTTGATCGACAGGATTGTCGGGTTTGATCGCGCAGTGGAGAGCTATGAGCTCTTCGACAAGAGCAGATGCGGGAAGATATTGTTTGACCCTTGGATTTAGGTTTGGGTTGTATGGAACTTCACAGTTTAATGACATTAACGAGCAAGTTCGCAAACAAACCTCGTTAGCAGACAAAGCAGAACCATTAGCGAATGAGTGTTGGGGTAAGGCGGGGGCCGAGACATCCAGAAAAAGAAGAAAACAAGGCAGTGTTACAAAATTATACCGGCGGCAACACCTAAGAACTACGGTATCATGCCCCTGAGAGCTTTCACAAATGTCAGTATGCGACTGTTACAGGTCCGATCCCACGGCATCAACTACATAGAGCACCTGTTGTGGCCTCACAAACAAGCCTCTCGACTCGGAGTTGGACATGTCTGATACCGCGGGTGACACACTGCGCAAGCGCTTTGCCCGTTCGATGCTCAGCTGGTCGCCCTCTCTCTTGAGCGAGTTCTTGGGATCCCTGCTCAGATTGTTGACCCAGTCGATCCGCCTTCGCCTCGCCGACCGATCGTCGCCGTACTCCCACTCGGATGGATTGCCGATGTCGAAGTAACGGATGCCTCCCCAGCTACCGTCGTTCCACTGCCGGCCGTCAAGCTTGTCCCCTGGCCAGGCGTCACTCACGGGCACCTCGACGCCAACCCACGGCCCCGACTCGCCTTCGACCTCGCCGATGTAGCGCGCATATGCGCGGAATCGCGCCTTCTTCGACGAGATGATACATGGTATCCCGATTTCCAATGTGGCACCACGCGGAGCGCCAGCTTTCGATAGTGACGTAGGCGCTGTTATCGTGTCCGACGAGCTCTTGCGTTTCAAGGAGCCCTTGACGGTAGATGCGCTAGCCATACTGTCCTGCTTTTCATGCGACACGAGTGCAATGGCCTTGCTCTTGCCCTTGATTGTGCCTTCCCCGGTATCAGAGGTAGGAGGACGTGAGCGACCATTAGTCACGGAAGTAGATGAGGTTATAGATGGAGCACCCGATGGCCGTTTTGAAACGATAGGACGTCTTGTCACTGGCGATGAGAGTGAGCTTGTGGAACGTACTGATTGCGCAGACGCCGTCCTCTTCGCCATCGGACTCGATCTGCTTGGGTCAACTGGGGATGAAGGTGGACGTTTCGCCTTGACGGACGGTGTAACGGACTTCGCCGCACTCGAAGGAGGCCGGCTGCGTGGCATCCTCGAGGCTGACGTCCCTGTCGTCCTCACACTGAGAGTTGACAGTGATGAAGCTGTCGACCCGCGGCGACTCCGAGCACCAGTGCTCGGCGACATATCCGTCTTCGCCGTCTCGAACGCGGTAGACCCGTCACTGTTGTTCGACAGCGTGGAAGAGGGACGCGACAGCGCAGAAGGTGGCCGCAGTAACGGCGACGTAGAATTGGTTTTCCGGACGGTGGATGCCTGGGATTTGACAGATGCCACCGAAGAGCGCACTCGTGAAGTTCGGTCGTTTGGAGACAGACTGCTGGACACATTGCGGCGACCAGGAACAGTTGTTACGCTCGCCTTCGGTGTCAAAGATGGCGTCGATACGCTTTCCGCTCCAGTGGACCGCATAGACGAGGCACTTGTCATATGTCCGGGCGTCAGTTTCGAGTCTGGTCGGTGGCCTGACGCGAGTCGGCGAGTCGTTGTTGTTGCTGTGCTCGTTTTGGATACCGTCGAATGTGTGCTTCGGGCCACTGAGCGTATAGACACGCCAGATCCCTTCACTGTATCACCACCGGCTTTCGTGGTGTGGCGACTGAGAACGCTAGCGCGCAGAGAATGCATGCTGACGTTCTCGTCTTCGTCTTTGGGGGCACGAGATCCTCGAGCAGCACCACTCCGGGGGGTACCAGCTTGTGAGACAGGACTGAGGAGATCCTCAACCGAGACTTCGATCTCTGGCAACGCAGATCATCAGTACTTACAGAGCGAAGTATACGGAAAGAACAAACATACCACCGCTGATTTCCTTGACTGCCCAGCCTTCCAAATTATCAAACCCACCCTCCTGCTTCACATTCATCCACCTCCTGCGGAGCCAGCGTAGGACGTCCATTCGAGTTTGCTCAACCAGCACGCGCACTTGAGATGTGGACGAGAGCATCGCCTCCTCTGGGTTGGTTGCATGAGGACGCAACAGAATCGAGGACACGAGAGTCTAGCATACACTCTGAGCCAACTGCTGTAAGAGATGTAGAAAAGGCAGTCACGCACCTGATACAGTATCGCAGCATTCTTCTCGCTCATACCTCGCCGCACTGCATCCATGATGAGCTCGACGCGTTCGCCGTCCTCGAAGCGCGCTCCGTCGCCTTCCATGATCTCAAGCCACTCGGATTGCTCGAAGCACTGGTCTGCTTGCGTGGACAGCACCTCGTCGATTGTCTTGCGCGCCGCGAGTACCATGTCCTTGACTACGTCCGCCCACGTGTCTATCACTGTGCCTATCTTCCCAAGTGCAACTTGCGCGGCGAACAACAGCGGGAACACGTTCAGCGGCGTTGTGCGTTTCGCGAGACCCTTGAGCAGCCCGTCGCGCGTCTTCTGCGGTAGGTGAGCGAACTCGGCCGTGCACCAACCCTCGCCAAAGAGCCCGACGAGCGCACGACGCGCCCCGCGCTCGAGGTGGGGGTTCTTGACGTCCTCCATGAGCGCAAACTCGAGCACGCGCGGCGCACGACGTGCGCACTGCCGACATTTGCAACCACCCGTGCCCCATTTCCCTCCCGTTGCGGCCTCGTACTCGGAGAACTCCAGGAACGCGTGAAAGAGCCCGTGCATCATCTCCTGGACGATGCGCGCCTGGATCTCGTTGTACAGCGTATCCAGCGAAAGGTATGCGGCCGAGCGCATGATATGGAAAGCGGTTTCGAGGTCGAATGTGCGATTGGAAAAGGCAAGAGTCCCTGTGTAGATGAAACCGAGAGTGAAATGAAGGGATGCAGGAGTGAATGGAGGAGAAGGAAGGGTCACTGTCAGAGGCTCCCCGGGCTTCTGAGTGATTCCCCAAGTCACAAGCTGCGTTTCGAAGTAAGGCGCACGGGAGACCAGAATGAAGCGATGTGAGGAGAAGATGGCCGTAGCACTTTCGTGGTTCGTGGAAGAGAAATTGCCAGTCAATGCGATCCGAACGTCCGAGTACAGGCGAGAGCGCCACATGAAGACGAGGTCCTTACGAAGTTTGTCTATCCTGGCTTCCTCCGCGTCGCCTTCCTCTCGACTCTCCGAAGAGTCGAAAAGGAATTCGAACGCCTCGCCGAAACCTTTGCCAGTGTAGAGGTATTCCAGTTCATTTGAGAAAAGCGTCGGGTTAGTCGGAATCGGTAAACGAAGAACAGCACCCGTGTTTATGGAAGGCGACGGCGAAGCGGCTCGGAATGGTGAAGGAGAGCGAGAGATCGAGTGATAATCGACGCCAAGTGTTAGCGAGAGGGCGGACTGGGCAGGTAGCGTACCAGTCGGTGAAGAGGAATAGGGAAGGGGAGAAGTTGCCGGAGGAGGCTTGAACGAGAAATAGCGTGCTTGAAAACTAGGTGGTGCGCGAGCATACACGACGGCTAGTAGGCAGACATTAGTCAGTTTGTACACACAGAGCAAGACGCGATGGTCAAAGGGCAGGATACGACTCTGTAACTGGTAGTAGTCATAGCATACAGCCACACCATGCTGGATACGTTGGACGACGTGGGAAGTAACAACGAACCTTTATGGCCCCAGACCTCCTCGACGTCCTTTGCGTTCGCATCCTGATCGTTTATGAGCTCCCAGACGACATCCGGAAAGCGGTCTTTGGCGTGATCGAAGAGCGACCTGAAGTCGTCTTGCCAGACGAGCGTGGAGTTGCGCGCAGCCTCCTGGAGGGACGGCGGGACGGTCGTGGGTGCGGCCATTGGAGGAGGGGTTGAGAAGAAGGGCAGAGAGAGCAGGAGGGGTATCTGGGAGGAGAACAGGCGCAACGCCAGGTGCAACGAGGTGGACTGTGCGACTGACGCTGTGCCGTGGCTGCTATCGCTCCCTCGTCAACTCACCGCCGGCACTCACGAGCAACCCACGAGCCAGCCGCTGGCCAAGATAGCTACCACGAGCTACTACGCACCAACACAATTGGCTGCAGCTGCTAGCGGTCGCTGAGCGGGCGAGTCGGCGTCATCCAAGGTAATTGTTCAAAGGCATCGCCTATGCCCCCAATGTGCCCACTTCTCTCACACTCCTCATCGCCCCTGCCGTGCTCACTCCTCTCATAGTCGCGACAAATTCACCATCCACTCCAAAGCCGTCGTCTGCCAAGATGTCGAGCTCAAGGGTGACATCACCATCGGCGCAGGTACCGCCGCCGCTCCTCGTTGACCGTCCTCATCACTCTAATTTTCGCGCAGGCACCATAGTCCATCCAAAGGCTACCATCTTTGCCATTGCAGGGCCTATTGTCATCGGTTCAGGATGCATAATTGAGGAGGGTGCCATCATCGTCAACCGGTATGTTTCGTTCGTAAATCATGCCTACCGCCACGAACGTACGTAGTTGTGACTGCCTCTATCTAACTTTGCCCTGTGTAGACGGAAGGAAGTTATGCGAATAGGCGATGATAACCTCTTTGAGATCGGCTGTCGTGCGTATCCTCTCTCTTTGACCCGCTGTCATGACTCAGTGACTTTATTCTACCAGGCGTCGAGTCCCCAAGCATTGGCAGCTTCAACACAGTCTCTGCTCGCGCCCGTGTACATCACACGGTCCGTATATCATCTCACTGCGTCATCGGTGCCGCCTGCCTTGTCGTTCCTGTCGATGACGAGATCCTCGATGAGTACACCGTCATCTACGGTCCCGCCGCTGAGCGTCGTGTGTGGAGTGGTCGCGGCAGAGTCCAGGAGGCGGACCTTCGTCGGAAGCATGCAGAATATCTCAGAGAGATGCTGCCGAAGTTCAACCGTCTACGTCGAGGAGATGGCGCGTGACGTCATGCGAGGGGCTGTTCGCATTCAGTCTTCTGTACTATAGCGTGCAATATATAATATCACATTCAATCAATTCCAACTGTAGATTACATCACAAAGGGGAAGGACTGAATAGTGAAATAACGCGATATGTATTCGCCGCCGAGTATACTGAAGCCTCATCAACAGTGCGACTAGCATGAAACGCTCGATACCATAGGCAATCATCAACGAAATTAATATATGCCCCATTTCCCCTAACCATCGACCACGGAAGTCGGACGATGTAGTGAATAAGGGGCAACGCACACACGCTGATCACACCTTGCGAGTATTCGCATCCAACCAAGGCAACAACATCATGTTGTCAAAATCGCCGGAGATACTATACATAGAACATCAAGCTCATGCGCGGAGCTGCGCACGGAGGTTGTTCTCCAAGTTGCCCCTAGGGCGAATGTACTGTACGTATGCACCATCCCTATGGTCCAGGTCAGTACGCATGACGACACCCCACACAAACGCAATACGCACTGCAACACACGCTTCTCCTCCTTAAGCTTGGTGTAGTCCTCACGATTGACATTCGTGAAGCCCCACTTGCGCGAGACAATAATCTTCTGGCGACCAGGGAACTTGTAGCGAGCACGACGGAGCGCCTCCTGGACAACAGGTGCGTTCGCGTCTTTGCAGCGGATGGAAAGGATGATCTGGCCGATGTTGACACGGGCAACAGTGCCATACGGCTTGCCCCAGGCACCGCGCATACCAGTTTGTAGACTAAGAATACATAATAAGATAATATTTCAGAATCGACTCTTGACAATTACTCACCGATCGGCACCCGCGCAGGACAACATCTTGTTGATGCGAATGACGTGGAAGGGGTGGACACGGACACGCAAGTGGAAGGAGTCCTTGCCAGACGTCTTCGTAACGTACTTGTTCGCGCAAATACGGGCAGCTTCTAGCGCCTCGCTAGAGAGCTGTTCGTACTCATCGGAGACAAGGTGGCAGCAGTAGGGGAATTCATCGACGGAGGCACGCTTGCGGCCAAGATCGAAGATACGGATCTAAATGGGCCCAGTGGTTGAATTTCCTGACCAAAACCGCAATTGAGCGAGTAGCGCACCTTCGGGTCAGGGACACCACGGTTGTAGCGGGACTTGGGGTACGGCTTGTTCTTGCAGTAGCGGTAGCAGCGAGCGGGACGGCGACCCATGGTTGGAACTGGGGAACCCACAAGTCAGTCCTAAGTGCTCCGCGTCATCTGGAACTCCAAAACCGCATCCATCGCTTCCAGGCAGCAAACCTACGCTGTCTTTACAAAAAGCGAGCGAAGCAAAACGGACGATCTAGAAAAACGGATACTCACAGTGCTGGAGGGTAGTTAGTGAGGGGAAAGTGGGTAGCGATGTCGCCTTTTGAGCCGGTTAAAGGGCGATGACAAACGACCTTGGCTGAGTAACCTGGGCGCTTGTTGTTCGGCAGGTTCCGCTAGGACCCGTATTGGTCAGGTCGAGTCAAGCTGACATAAGCAATGGTCATTCTCTGGACATTGCTCTCCAATCGATGCACAGTCCAAGTGCTTTGATTTCTACGCGCGTATGGTTAGACCGCCTGAAGTCATTCGAAATTGACTTTACTCGCGCTGGCCCATGGTCTGGCCCTGGCTCTCATCGACATCGATTGAATACTAGTAGCCGCGCGCCCCTAGACCCTGTAGCTTGCTCGTAATGTCGCTATCTCAGTGAGCTCATAGCAGGACAAATTATCGAGTCCATCTCCGTGTCGTGCAGTGCCTTGCCTCTGTGTATCTCACGGTTCGGTGATAGATATGCTCTGTTGACTCGTAAGTCTCCTATCAGCACTGCATGATAAGTTGTTCTCTACGCGATGGTGTCATACCCGTCCGCCCGAGGACGGTTGCCCGACCTGGATGCTCATATGCGCGCACGTGTGCCCCGTCGCACCCAGTTAACTCGCTCTCGGGGACCCGTCCTGCCTCTTTCTCCCAACATTTACTCTCGTAGCTCTTTCCACGCTGCAGCGTGCCTTTCATTTCACGCCTCTTCTTTGTTCACTTACTTACCGGCTTCTCTGGCCGCGGACTCATCATGTTACTGAAATACGACCCACTGGGAACGAGTGACGTCCGTTCCCGCCCTTCCTCTCGTCTGACCCGCTCCGTGTATCATCGCCCTCTCTCTCTTGTCCGACCCGCATCGCATCCCCTCGCAGTCGATGTTTCATAGTGGCATCCAGCGTCCTGGCAACGTCTACCACATACGCCCCGCGTCTGGCGGCCTGCCTCTCATGTATGGCCGGCCAGTAGGTTACTACGATGGACGTGCGTACTGCTATCCGATCCTTATGCGCCAGGTGTTGACGCGTGTATCCGCAGCTCCGGAGATGCGCCCAGTGCATCCTGTTTACCAGTACTCCCAGCCGCTGCCCCAGGCGCCTATGATGTACAGCCCTCAACCTCGTTATCCGCATCCCATGCACCGCCCGTATCGTCCCGTGTTATGCTGTGACACCTGCTGCGGTGGAATGTGTTGTAGCGACGCCTGCTGCGTTGATGGCTGCTGCGGCGATGTCTGTTGTGACGACTGCTGCGGGTATGTATTGCATTTGGTTGTGTTTCACGTCTCATCATGGAGCTCACTTGGTATGCAGGCCCGATTGTTGCTGCTGCTAGGTGCAAATGTTTCGCGGCCGTGCTGTACGTGGGGCGGACGTGCTGCTTTCTGAAATTGTCGATCCCCGTAGGCTACCTTATTATCTTCATACCTTTCTCGGTCGCATTTTCCCTCAACCGTTTCAATGTGTCTCAACTCTCGTCCTTCGTTATCTATGCACCGTTCTTTTTAATACCGTGTTGCTGTGGATACCAAGGTCTATTGCTACCACTTGATACTCATCTGCACCGGAGGACTAGTGGAACACAGTCGCTGGACACAAGCCACAACAATCAACGAAAGGGACCTATTTGCATAAGACCAACATCATACGTCTGACAAATAGTCGCACATACGGACCCACATATTTTCCGTAACCTAGTCAACGGCTAGTGGTGTTGTGTAGTGAGAATCATAATTCCGCATTTATCCCTCATGAGCTCGGGATTGTGCAATTATGTCGACTACTATTTGAGAACTTGCAATCTTGAAGGCAATTTCCGTGACATCACTCTTCCATGACCCTTCGCATGCCCGTATCTGACGGTTCTGCACCTTCAGGCTCTGCTTGTCACTACTCATTCTGGCGGCAATCCTCTTGTTCCAATCAATCTTGGATGGTCTCGGATGGATTCGCCGCTGTGTTTTGATTATCCCTGACCCGCCACTATTTATTGACTACAGAGTACATGCAACGTATCCAGGCAACAACTCAACCATTGACATGTCCCCGCTATGTGAAGCCGTATGGAACATGTCTCAACTGATTTTGATCAGACAAGCCCGAACAGCCAGCGTTGGTTCGGTTCATTCTAAATCGGATACGAGATCAGCAATGGTACTCGCTGCACGTGGAATGAATTTACAATGTCATCCTTGTAGAAGTGCACCTGCATATCCGTCAAGTAAGTTCGATATATATTATACGCGAGGAAGGCAGATTGCTTACGACTTGAGGGGACTGAGAATCCAGCGGATAAGAGCCCTTTTCCCTGATCCTGCAAGTTTCCTCAGTCATAGCGCAACGTGGCGGGTTCCAAAGCTTACCTCAAGAACCTGTTGCTTCCAGCTGTCTGCTGGCTGATCTGCCACACGACGGATACGCCGGGGCTTCCTACAGGGAAACCATAACCCCAGTATCCATATGTCGAATGTATCAGGCCATAATCCGTCTTCGCGCTCTTGATGTGGTACTCGCCATTCCCCAGCGGAGTGATGCGCCACTATGCTGCGATGAGCTCGACATAACAACGAACATCTTCGGAGCCCTGCTTACCTTCTGGTAATCATTCGACATGTCGAGTGGGCAAAGCTTGACCCAAGGCACGCCATCAGGAATGTACTCCCAGACTTGCTCCGGACTCTGCCCATACAGCTTGATGCGGTACACGCCCTCTTTCGTGGGCGGCGTGCTTGTAAACGGTTTCGGAGTATCAGAGCCACCCCCCAGTGCACGCAGTGTGGACACCGACGGCACGAAGAAGTATTCGCCGCCGCGCGAGGTCACAAAGTATTGCGGCGTGATCGCCTCTGCGCTCGGATTTGGCGTATTCACGAAGCCCGTGACAGACCGAGTCTCGCCTGAGGAGTCTGTGACGTCGATGGTCACCTCACCGCTGCTCGGGACAGTTTCATTCCCTTTCACTTTAGCTGTTAACGACTTGATGGTCGCGCCCCCAATAATCGGGTCTTGCCCTATGCAGAGGCAAGTGTGTCAGAGATATGCCGGGGCGAAAGTAGGACACTCACCGTGTCTCTCAGGCACAAGCGACGCGATAGGAAAGTACTCGTTCACCGAGTCCCGCGTCTGCTGCCAGAACCCGTTCTCCGTCGACGACTGATAGCACGAGAACAAGAGCCCTCGCGGGCTTGTATCCTTCTGAACTTCCTTCGGCGCAACCTATTAACAGCATCAGCTAGCCACTACAGCTTGGTAACGAAAATATACCTCAGGGCCGTATGGAAGCCCTGCACGGACGATGAGGGCACGCTCCAGGAATTGCTTCTGGAGGTAGGGATCGAGGTTGCGCGGGGCAGTCTTGCGCGTGTGCGCAGTGAATGGGCACACGCTGTCGCTAGATCCGAATTGACCTTTACTGTGTAGTCAAAGTTGTTCAATTTGTCTTCGTCCAGAGGGATGCTCGGATGGTCTCGGTAGGGTGCCGTCGCCAGAGGGGTGCCCTGTGCCCAAGGTCTATCATTAAGGCGGACTCCGTAGACAAGAGGCTTACCGACTTCCACCGCCCCACAAGCCGCGCACCAAAAAGCTCAGGCCCTCGTTGTTCGTTAGTGGCGGTGAGATCTTTTTCACCTCGTCAGGAGGCAGGAACCGCCGCCACTGAGGTCCAGCTGTCTTCAAATACTCATTGAACCCAATCACGTCCTGTTCTAGCTTGCGGAAGACCATGAATGTCCCGTCCTTTGTCCAACCAGGGCGTTTCTCCGACGGGGAGAGGTACGGATTATCAAAGATGGGGTCCCCTTTGTAGCCGCATATGATGACACCGGCGTCGCATTGGAGTTGCCCCTTGTGTGGTTTGACTAGCCCCCTGTGAACCAATTCAGGGTTTTTCTTGGGATGTGCGGGCTTCCAAATTACCGAGGAGCAGGCTGCGACACGCTATCCTTATAGCCGAAGTGCTCGTGACCTCTCCGAGCTCCAGGCCGCGCATTTCCGTCCATCTCTACAACGTTGTGGATCGATTGCTTGAAGGTCTTCCTCACGGCCTGTGTTCCAATCTGGCACTGGTCGGCATCTATAGCAGAGACCTGTTGATGTCATGAGGTGTATGGCAGTGAACAACACCCACGGCTAGCAGCAACGATAATAACGCCATGAATGATACCGTCAGCGAAGAGAGGGTCCCAGGGACCGCCATCGCCAAGCGCCTTTAGCTCTTTTCTCATAGAACCCTGGTCGAAGTGTGTATCTTTCGTATGCTGAGTCTGGCCAAGGAGGTCGAGACCAGAGCGGCTGAACGCGATCTGTGTCTGCCACAACTGCACACGCCGAACCTGAGATGGTTGTGCTGCGTTGGCCTTGGCGTCGGTGATCTGGCGAAGGTTGTCAAGAACATCTTCGGACGTTGTGGGTGTGTAGTTCGCAAGGTCGCGCTTGAAATGATCCGCATCGCGGATGGCAAAGAATACGAAATTCTCATGATCCTATGACGCACCATATATCAGCTGACAATGTATAACAGTGTGTAAGCAAAACTCACCTTCGGGAAGAGTAGATAGATGTCCCCTTGAGTATTCTGGGGGTCAGGAAGCTCATGAGATGGTTTCTGGGAAGATAGGGGATCTGAGGGCAAGAGCGGCAGGATCGCCCGCTTGGCAATGTGTTGAAGTTTGGAATGATGGAAATCAGGTTTCGTCATGCTGGCGAAGAGAGGAAATCCTGTGGAGACCACCCTCTTAGCCAAACAGAGGGCTTTAAATATGTGCGGCCTGCCTATGATACGTGACTTTGTCAGAAAGCGAATGATCGATAGGGCGCTATGCGTAGGATCCAGAATGCTCACGCTGTCTCCAAAATGTGGTTCAACACTGACGGCTCAAGTATGGAAGGCTTAAGGGCTTATTCATCCCCATACATCTTCCATGCATATGCTGTCGCGTAACGCTTGGCAAGCAGAGAGAAAAGCGACAAGGAGGTGTTATGATACTGCTTTGTTGGGGGCCATGTCATCGGTTTTGGACCATCTTGGTTGAAATATTGAACCTCGGTTCTTTAAATCGCCGACTTGGATGATAGATGGCATATCAACTTCGTTCTGCGCTTGAGAAGATGCACAAGCACTGATGTATTACGGACTCACGGAGGTTTGACCCTGTTTCGAGCACGCAATCAATTTGACAATGTGCGACTGGAGTATATGAGGTAGTCACATAGCTTTCGGGACGCAATACCCTTAAACCTGAAGCTTGAAAAATCCTTCAAATGGAATGAACTAATTCAGCATCTGACCACAGTTCGTCGTGTTTGATTAACTGATCGAATGTCAGTACTCCAGGTCTCCAAATGGCGCGTGGTCTCGTGCTTTTGCGTCACAAGTCCCGTACCTCAAATACCGTGGATTGGATCTAGACGGAACGGTAAGATGGTAGGATGCTGAATCTAGACGGATGGGTACGAGATCAATGGTAACTCAACTTGAACAAGCCTAAGAAATGTAAAGCCCTCCAATTTCCCAACTCGCGAAACTCGGGATGAATATCAATCACTGACTTGTGTCTTTGAAATCAAAACTCACAACCTGACATTCATACGTATGGAAAGCATAAGCTTGCGACCCTTTGGTCGTTCTGGCCGTATGTCTATCGCCAGATCTTTGGGAGCGCTCTATGCTTGCAATCCCTGAGTTCCTCACGAGCTTGACACTCGGCGGGTCTCTGCTACAGTCATCTGCCTGCAGCAAGCTTCGATGTTCCCACACATGAACGGAATTACGCCCTCTTCGAATGGTTACTCTGCGTCGGCATATCCTCGCAACTTGGCTTTGGAACTCTACAGGAAGCGTGTTCACTTTGCGAGTCGTGACTGGATTACACTTTGAAATAGACTGAAATCATCATGCCGTGCATGTACAAAGAGTTTGCTATAATCCAGCGGCTGAGCTGTATATACGCTATTTGTTCTTCGGGTGAAGACTATAGAGCGGCAATCCTCCAACCATCGAGACGGGCGCTCTATTTGTAGGGCGCCTAGGGGAGACTAGGTGAAGACGTGTGATTTAATTCCAGCGACAAAAGCAGACTATCGAGCACTCTTTCACCGCAAAGCTTGCTGAGGTGTAGAGCATACGATGGACCATGAGCATCAATAATATAGATGGAAGACAACATTCAGAGAAGTAAATGGCTTTTTGCAGGGATGAACGACATTGAGGTCGTGTCCGTCCACAAGGAAACGACTTGCGTCCATCTGAGACTCGAGTTGCTCAATACTCACCGTCTTTGTGTTGGAGCATCCCTTCATGTGCCCTCGAGTCCACCGGAGGTATTCACGGAGCTCACGTTTGACACAGCTAGACCAGCGATTGATAATTAGCATTAGCGGGCCATTATGGAGGCGCAGAAACGGTTCGAGGAATCCCCGTCCCCACGAGGATGTCGTTAAATGGGGGTCACATGCAAATGTTATGCAGCGGGCGCTCTATCAGCCCCTAACCCCATAGTAGGGGCAGGCTTTGTGTCACGGGGGACGCGGTTCATTTCGCCGTCACGCGCCGTGGCTGGATTCCTTCACTCCTCCACCACCGACGCGTTCCTGTCTCTCCCTCTCGAAATCCGCACCCATTTCATGCAAGACATTGCGTAGTGATCAACGTCAAACATGGAGACGCGTCCTCTTCCAGGTTAGGCTTCCTGAATTTGCATTGTGTCGCGTACTCATCTCAACGACTGACTGCAGTACGCGCTCTATACACTATCAACAACAACCCACAGTACATTTTGGCGCGTTCGGATTGCCCAGTCCCTGTTACCCTCATTCCTGCACACCTCGCTGTGTCGCTAAATCCTCGACTCCCCGTGTCTTCTACACCACATCTATCTTATGGCAGGACACCCCTCCGACCTGTGCTGGAGGCAGTACTTCGGTCTAGGTACGCGTGATAGTGTCTTTTTACTGTTTTGACGGCACTCATAAACTACAGTCCTGAGCTCGTACCCAACACGACGCGCGATTTTACTGTTTATGTCCTTGATCCTCTCGAAGCGCCACCGTCAGTTCTATATTCAATCTAGCAGACCGCACGAGGTAACTCACGACATGACACTCACGACATGACACAGGCCAGGAGCAATGGAAACTCATGCCACCGGTGGTGTTGCCATTGGTCTTGGTTATATGTCACTGTCACTGCAGGGTGCGACACCAGACGCCACAGTCACAGGGACATTTATCGGCGACGGACTGCGTGAAGACGCGTTAGAGGTGATATTAGCCTTGCGAGAGGTAAGCCATTTTCTGAATACCCGCACGTTTGTTGAGCGGGGGGCCATATTATATTCCTGTACTAATTCGTCGGAACAGACACCTGCGATACCTAAGCCTCCAACGAGAAGATGGGTACCTCCAGATAAAAGCAAAACACCATTTACCACCGCCCCGCTTCCTGCGCGCGGCTCGCGCGAAACTATTTTGCCCGCTGTGACACCACCTGCCATTATCCCATCCTACATGATGGCCTCAATGCCGCCCGCAATTACAGGTAGCACAAGTAGATCCGACAAGAAACCCCTGAAAAGAAGTATGTCCCAACAAGAACAAGAGCAATATCTATTGCAAGCTAGTGGGGCGTCCTCCTTATCACAGCCCGCAGCGGGTTCCTCTACGCTACCTGCGCCTCATCAAACTGATGCTACCCTAGCTCCTCCTGCAGCAGTATCAGATGCAAACCAGGCAGCACTTCATGCTTTACTGGTTGCGCTTGCAACCTCCCAGGGCAAGAACACCGAGCTTCTCTCGATGTTGTCTGCCATCGACACTTCATCAGGCCAGGCAGGTCAGCAGAACAATGCTCTGATCGAAGCACTTGCAAAGCTCCTTAGTGTGGATGCGCAGCCTGCAATGACACCTCAAGGAATCTCCCCAATGGCTCTCATGCAGACAGCACCCGCACCGGCGCCTGGATACCCATATGTTGCTTCCCAAGTGCCTTTCCCCACTTCGGCACCAGCGGCTGTCGCTTCGCATCCTCCTGTGACGTTGAATTTCCTCTCTGCTGGTCTGTACAAACATCACCATCCCCCAGCAACTGCTTCGCAAAAGGCAGCTGACGACGACGAGATTGTTGTGCTTGACAAAGAGAACGTTGACCCTAGTGCCTTCCGACGGCGACGAGATACATTCTCGAGCAAGGAGAAGGAAGCCGATGTCAAACAGCCTCAACAGCTGGCGTCGTGGCCTTCCAACAGTGCTGTTCGTCCTGCCCCATCTTTGCAACAGACCTTGTCAACGCCACTCGCAGCCTATCCTGGGAGCTCGGGAAGTCAAAATGCCAGCGCAATCGCTTCGTCATCATCGGCACGCTCGCCCTCGCGACACCGGTCTGTTGCGTCGGCTATCACAAGTACTAACACCAGCGGGAAGCTAACACGCAAGCGTACCCTGAGCGAATTCATGGAAGAGAAAGAACGTGAGCAGGAGCGGAAACGTACTGCGAGCACATCCAGCAGGGCACGCGCAGGGACAGGAGCGGTTCTGCACGCCAATACATCGGCAGCAAACAGTAGTACGACGGTCATTTCACCACACTTTATGTCCGACTCGGGGCTGGAGCTCGGCGAAGGTCCATCAGAGCGGGCGCCCGCGACATCGCCAGCACGGCGTGCTGCGAAGGGCAAGGCGAGGGAGTCAGAGAGCTCTATGCCAGCGCAGGAAACGCTCCGCAAGCCGTACGTCGTGCCACAGTGGGCGCGCACGACGACGGCGACGCTGCCGCGGCTAGCCAACGGGGAATTTTTGGACATGGACGAAGTCGCGGACGCGTCGTTGCGGCGCAAGCGGTCCACGAAGACGAAGAGGCGGGAACAGGTGCGCGGTAGCAGATCGGGTGCACCGTCGAGCGGGCCATCGGGCACACAGTCGTCGCCCTTGAAGAGTTCAGGTGCGGTGTTGACACCAATGCCCCTTCCAAATTGTGCGTCTGCTTCCAAGAACGAGCGCCAAAGGACGCCGCCAAGGCCAGTAGTGGCCACTGCTTCTTTGTCTATATTCGCCTCGCCGGTCAAGGCGCGATCTAGGACTCCGGAACCCTCTTCGTCATTGTTGAAATCGCAGGGCGAGAACCCATCTTTTGATACCACGTATGAACTGCCTAGCACCCCGCAGCGGCCTCGGCGCTCGACACGGGACACGGCGTCTGACGGCGAGGACGATGGCTCCCCGCTATTTACACCGCAACGCCCGGGCACATCTCTGTGTACGCCACGTCTACCCAGTCTCTACCAAGAAAACGGCCTGCTGTTTTCGCCAATTCGTACACATGGCAGCAGACACTCTCGAGGGTCCAGTGGGCGCACGTCGCGCACGCTTGCCTTACCATCTGAAGGCCCTTCTACTCGATCGAGAGGTGCCCTCGCAGACAACGCGGACCCTTTTGCGGACGATGCGGACACGCCATCGTCATCGCTGCCTGTGGCGAGCAGCGACGTAGAGTATCCGCCGTCCTCGGAGCTCGAGGCTACTGATGACCAGAGTTCCAAGAAGTATTGGTCAGGCGATCTCCCGCCTTCTTCGCCGCTCCCCCCATCAAGCCCAATTCTGTCACCAGAGGACGACTGGGGAGTGGAGGAGGACGAAGTCAACGCGGACCCAGACGCCGACGCCGATGTCGAGGGAGACGTGACGGCCGAAGTCATCAACAAGCCCGCAGATCTTGTACGAGAGCCAGATCGTGGTGCTGCTGATCCTTCCGATGGCACACCGTCTTTACCCTTCTCTCACGCAACTACTTCGCCACCCAATGACGCATGTCTGGCCGAGCCGTCTGGCGCGCAGTCACAGAGGAGCGACATGCCAGTAGCTGATCTGCCACTCTCTGATGGTGCAGACTTGTCATCCTGTCCCGACTTCTCAGACATATTCGACTTCGGGCCTCCCTCTGATCCTGATACAGCATTGCTGAGCACGGACCCGGCGGATATGTTTCAGCCCGATCACGCAAATGACTTCGACGCGTTCTTCTCTGCAGAGTTCGCTTCTCACGATGGCCTGGCTGATATGAACTTCGGCGAATTCTGGGCATCCATGGGACCGTTGATCGGGGAGAATATGGGTTTGGATGGCTCTCTTGCAGAAGCTGGTTCCGGGGGAATCGACGGAGAGAGCACGGGGACGGCGAGTTTGAATATCAACACCGCTAAGCTAGCGGACGATATGCAGTCGCTACTGAGTGGCTGTGTGATGTGAGCATGGACAATGACTTATCAGAATGGACGATGTTCCACAATATCACACATCTGTATACACCACTTCATCTGCATACTGTTTTTATTTTTAACCACCAGGACATGTATCTCGAATGGGGGTATTATACTCAGGCTGACTGAGTTTAATGACTGCTCTTGAATTGTGCGTACAAGGATCTACAAGAGGTGAGAAAATTAGGCGGACGGATATTTTGCTAGCACGCAGAATGTGCGCGCAATCAGAAAATGGCGACGTAGAAATGACAATGTCGAATGTGTCCTTCATGATTTTCGAATTTTCACCAAACAATCACGAGCAAACAGTGCCTAGCGCGTACACAACTTACCAAAGAGCAAAGTGAGTGAAAATGTGAAGTATATGGATGACAAGGTGATTGAAAGGATATTACCGTCTACCAAGAACTACATCTATCCCAGGAACATAACACACTCTGACCAATAGGTACGTTGTATATATATACCGCGATACCGCGGCAGCACCCTTGCTGGCAGCCGCGTGGATCTCATATATCTGTGTCTACAGCTGACAACTTATGGTAGCTGATTGTCAGACCTGTGGCAATACGCTGTCTCCGTCTCTGAAGCAGCCCGTCCTGTCAGACGAAGCTGATTCCTCAGTACGCCATGTCCGATCGGAGTCCGAAGGGAAGTTCAACGCATCATTACCAGACCGGATCAGGAATAGTGGTAGCAGGAACCGATAGTTCTTGGATCCATGGCCATGCATCTGCCGATAACTGGGAGGAAAACATGATGTTCTTCTAAAGGTTCCGCGAAAGGCTATAGAAGGGCGTTCCTTGACCCAAGGTAAGGTTTATCATTCGTCATGTATGGATTCAATGGAACGTTCAGCGGTGGAACTAGAGGGGCCGCGACCTCATTTGCGAGGACCAAGTGACGACATGTACCCCTGCTCTTTGCAGACGAAGCCCACGTTCACGATAGACTTGCTGGAGAGGGGAGATTAGCAGCGCGGCACGCCCCGCATTTGGTATGTCGACATGAGAAATTCTTTCCCACATCCGCTTGCAGAACATTTGAGCGGACATAGCAGTATTTCACGTGTTATGGACACTCTGACATGTTCGCGGGATCTCGCTGTGCCAAATCCATCCATGTTCACAAGAATGAGAATGAAAAGCACATAAAAAGCGAAGGTGGGCGCTGCATGTATTGATAGTGGGAGCGATGGACCGGGGAAAGGATTGTCTCAGGACCAGAGACGCGGGGAAGTCGAGGGGAGACTGGGTGAAGCTGAGGCTCAGGCTGGTCTCCGGCGGATGATGTATGTGCCACGTGATGGCGATCGATAGTCAGTTTCGCGCGTTGGCGCCGAGCGCGGGTCCCCGCTATAAGTAAAGTCTCTTCATCGTCGGCGCGTTTCACTCCATCCTCCTCCATCTCTACCACAATGGGCATTCTTGACATCGTTCCCGTATGTTCCCCCCACTTTCCTATGGCCCTCGTTACTGACATGCATCGTAGGCCGGCGTGTTGACTGGCGACAACGTCCGCAAGCTCTTCGAGTATGCCAAGGAGCACCAGGTACGTCCCCTGCATTCCCCCTTTCCGCGCCTGCTCACAGTAGTAACCCTTTTTTCCAGTTTGCTATTCCCGTAAGTCTGTAGCGCGGTGCGCGCTTCGCCTTACGCTGACAATCTCCCCATCGCGCATATCAGGCCATCGTAAGTTACCCCAGCCCTTCTCTCTACCGCGGCCAAGGCCTTGTTCCCGGAGCTTGTCCGCGGTGCCTTATGCTGCCCACTCAATCTCCGCCCCACAGAACGTAACATCCTCCTCAACTGCTAATGCTGTTCTTGAGGCCGCCCGGTAAGCGCATCCGGCACTAACGCCGCACGCTGCTTCTTGACTGCTTTACCAGAGACATCAAGAGCCCCATCATCATCCAGGTGTCGCAAGGCGGTTCCGCGTACTACGCCGGTAAGGGCCTCGCCAACGACAAGCAACAGGCGTCTATACTCGGTGCCGTCGCTGCTGCCCACCATGTCCGCATCGTCGCAAAGGCCTACGGTGTGCCTGTAGTGTTGCACTCGGATCACTGTGCGCACAAGCTGCTGCCCTGGTTCGACGGCATGCTCAAAGCGGACGAGGAGTACTACAAGCAGCACCAGGAGCCGCTCTTCTCGTCGCACATGCTCGACCTCTCTGAAGAGTCCAAAGAGGAGAACATCGCGACATGCGTCTCCTACTTCAAGCGCATGGCGCCTCTCGGGCTCTGGCTTGAGATGGAGATCGGCATCACCGGCGGCGAGGAGGACGGTGTTGACAACACGAGTGTAGACAACAACAAGCTATACACGCAGCCCGAGGACATCTGGGACGTGTACAGCGCGCTCAGCGCCATCGGCCCCAACTTCAGCATTGCGGCAGCGTTCGGCAACGTCCACGGTGTATACAAGCCCGGCAATGTCCGCCTGCACCCGGAGCTCCTCCAGAAGCACCAGGTGTACGCGGAGGAGAAGCTTGGCGGTAAGAAGAAGCCCCTGTACGTCTTCTTAGGCCCGTATATGTCCGTATATTTGCCGACCACGATCGCATAGCTTCCTCGTCTTCCATGGTGGTTCTGGTTCGTCCAAGGAGGAGATCAAGACTGCCGTCCAGAACGGCGTCGTCAAGATGAACGTCGACACTGGTGCGCGACCCGACGCTGACTGCATTTCCCCGCTGACTCTCGTGCTCTCGCCACCAGACACCCAATACGCGTATCTCCGCGGTATCCGGGTACATCTGCCTCACATATTGCCATGCCGGATAGTGTGCTGACACCCACGCAGGACTTCATCCAGACCAAGTCGGGTTACCTGCAGTCGCAAGTCGGCAACCCGGACGGCGCGGACAAGCCGAACAAGAAGGTGCGTCTTCCGTCGTGCTACCGAGGATCTGCGCGTGGCTAATGCGATATCTTTTGCGGCAGTACTACGACCCGCGCGTGTGGGTGCGCGAGGGCGAGAAGACGCTCACGCAGCGTGTCAAGGAGGCGTGTGGGGACCTCGGCAACGTCGGTGCGTAGCCTTCCTCGTTTCACGGGTCAGGATCAGTGTTGATCGTGCTGTATGCGCAGATCGTCTATGAGTGGGCACACGCTGCTTGCGGACGTAAAGCGGAATCACAGACGGAATGCGGATGAAGTGAAGCAACTTAATGTATTGTATGACGTAGTGTATCGCAATGCACGAGACTGTACAATCGTCCCCTTAGAGTCTAGTAACAGATTACGATGGATCACTCAGAACGCTCGATGCAGGGTACAAGATTCGAGGTATACCACCGATGTGTGGCGAAGTCTCGGAGGGTACTTGCAATTTATCACTAAGAGGTCAATGATTTAATTTTAATAGGCCAGCGGCTTGTGGCTGGAAGTTTACAGTTTGTCGCCTATCACTTATTGCGCTTGTGCCCAATCATGGCCTTCCGTCTATGTTCAACCTTGTTTCTTAAGCTTCACGTCTACACTAAATTAACGTTTAACCTCGTACTTCTCCCAGCCAATCACTTCGAGGTTGTCTACTTTCACAAGCACCTCGCTCTCGAGGCTTTTCAGGTATGCATCCATCGCGCCAACGAGATGTGGCATACCGGCACCCAGTATTCGCACGGCGAGCAACCCCGCATTCATCCCATTGTTGATAGCCACGGTCGCGACAGGGATACCTCGCTGAGGGCTACAGTCAGACATCCTCCATCACGTAGGGGACATAATGCTTACCGGCATCTGCACGATGCTATACAGCGAATCCACGCCGTCCAACGAGCTGCCCTTCACTGGCACGCCAATCACTGGGAGTGCCGTCATCGCGGCAACCATTCCAGGCAGGTGCGCCGCGCCTCCTGCGCCCGCGATGATTGTGCGCAGACCCCTTGACGCAGCCGACCGCGCATACTCGACAAGGCGCTCGGGCGTTCGGTGCGCAGACACAATCGTCAGCTCGTAAGGGACACCGAAGCGGTCCAGGATGCGCGCAGCGGGAAGCATGACGGGCAGATCAGAGTCCGAGCCCATGATAATGCCAACCAGCGGATCCCGGTATGAGCGACCCGATCCTGGCGAGGGTGGCAGTGGCGCGTACTGCCCGAGCTCAGCATCATCGCTCGGCGCAGGAAGGCATTCAAGGAGCGGGCGCAGCCGCGTGCGGAGCGCGGCGTCCGAGTCGGCAACGATGGTGATGTGCCCCATCTTGCGACCCTTCCGGCACTCTGATTTGCCATAGAGATGCACGCTCGCGCCTGGGACGGCAAGCGCACGTTGCGCAACGGATGTAATCTCCTCCATGTCGCTCGATGCGCCGATTAGGTTGAGCATTACGGCGCAGGGGACCTTCAGCGCGGTCGAACCCAGCGGAAGCGAGAGGATGGCACGGAGATGGTTTTCGTACTGCGACGTTTCACAGGCTTCAATCGTGTAATGTCCCGAGTTGTGAGGGCGAGGAGCAATCTCGTTCACGTAGACCGAACCTGAATGGCTGAGTTGGTATCGTGATGCGAAAGACGAGTTTGGCACCTACCGTCTGCCAGAAGGAACATCTCGACCCCGAAGACACCTGCACCATGCAGAGCCTTCACTGCGGCCTCCGCGACAGCGCGTGCGCGATCAGCGATAGTGGGATCGCGGCTCCGGAAGGGGGCAAAAACAAGGTGACAGATGTTCTCCTTGTGCACGGTCTCAACGGCCGGATAGGAGCGCACCTCGCCGGTCGTTGAACGCACAACCATGACTGCAATTTCCTTGACGAAAGGAACCCATTTCTCTGCGTATAGCGGCCTGTTGCCGAGCGCGCCAATAGCGTCCTCGATTTGGTTGGCATCCCGAATGACAAAGTTGCCCCTGCCATCGTAAGCGAGAGTCCGGCTCTTCAACATCAATGGTAGCCCCAGCTTCTTGATGGCCGATATGATGGACTCAGAAGTTGCATCGACGGATACAAACTCGCCGAGCGGGCATCCGTGCGCTGCGAGATGATGCTTCTGCGCAAACTTGTCCTGAATAACTTTGATTGTAGACGGGCTGGGATGCACACCGAGCGGAAGAGAATCCTGGACCTCGTCAAGCACGTTGACGTCCACATGCTCGATCTCGACGGTGAGGACATCCACTTTTGCTGCAAGCTCGCGGATCTTGGCCGCATCGGTGAAGGATCCGTCTATGTGAGCGAGGCGAGGCGACTTGGGCGCGACGACCTGCTTCGCGGGGCCGTGTTCACCAACATCAAGCACAACTATGTCGATGTTCAATACCGAGGCGGCCTGCGCCAACATGCGGCCAAGCTGACCACCGCCTGTGAAAGTGCTCATCTCAGTGTCCTCCCGCGTAGCGGTGACATTGGTTCTGTGTAAAAATGACTCACTGTACCTAGTATGCCGACAACCTTGTCCATATTCCTTGCTTCGAGGTCGGTATACCTCGGAAACACGGGCTTCGGGTTTTGAGCTTCAAGCCTCAGGGGCTCCTGGTCAATGGTTAGGGATAAATTGTGGGCGGTCAGCAAATCTCGTTTAGGGGTTGCTGGCCTTAACCCTAGATCTGGGTTCGACAACGCCTTCCTTATGTGACTTGCGAAGGAAACGCTGTTTCCCACTCTGCTCCTGCCACGGTACCACCGTGCTCCCGGTGTTCCTTTGACCTCGCTCATTCAGACCGAAGTCTAGAGCGTACTGTATGTGAATGCTCTGGTGGCCACAGCCGCGGAATCAGTCTAGATGATCATGCTTCAATCAACTTGATGAACAGGAAGCCGCCACCGTCACACGGACGGCACGACCAGACCTCGAAAGACGTGAAAGGATAAGCGCATAGGCCGGTGGCAGCTACATATCTTCGCCGGAGATCTCTAGTGCCTAACAGCCTCATTCATGCACTCCCGCCTCGATCTAAATCCATACTTAAGCGCGTGAATATATCTATAATGGACGCGTCAGAACGCGAAAAATGGCGCAAGCAGCCCTCCGCCACCCGTGAGGCGTTTTATGACACGGGACCTACCTGTTACGTCTTTCGCTGGACAGGCGGTTACGAGAATCTGCAATTCACCCAAGCCGAGTCCGTGGTCTCGTCCTCGGACGAGACTGACTCAGAAGCGTTCGGTGAGTGGTACTTGTGGAATACCGGATACCATGATCCCTAGTGGCCGCCTGGATGACGGACAGTAGCCTGAAAGGTGGCGCCGATGCGACCTTGAGACCCAACCTGTGCACGGAATCCGATGACAGGGAGCACTGTTGGGTCCATCCTTGATAGCAGTCAATGTATTTTATTGAGACAATGAATGATTATGCTGATCCTGGATGTGACTATCGCTTGCACCCTTCCGTCGGTTCGATCTAGACTCTAACGGGTTGCATCGAGTTTTCCCCCATCCCTGGGGATTTGGTTGCGGACATGGCTGTGAACGGTACGGCATACGAAGCGATGATGGCAGTTTTTCATTTGGTTGAGTACCAGTCGGATGAAGTGGTGCAGTAGCTTGCTTGAGCCACTGCTCAGCTGCATACTCTTTTCCTGCTATGATCCCACTTTCTCTGGTCGACTCGAGAACATTCACTGCTGCACAATATGATGTGTAGTAAGACTGCATCAGCCACCCATCCAAAATGGTAGTGACCAAGTTCCCTCTGAGGAAACACACCGTTATTATGGATGTGCTGCACGCTCATGGTCTATCGAAGGGGAGACATACCTGACATGTCGACATGCGAGCGGGAACGTGACAATGCTCGCGCGCTAGCTGGAGAGCCAGCTCGTGACTGGATCCAGGAGTGGTCAGTGGCATGAGCTTCGACTCTCTGCTGGTCGGAATGTGGTTAGAGCAGCACAAGTTCAAGTCAACCGCCTCGTTGTCACACGTCTTCAATTTCCGCCTAATGCAGGGGAGAGGGAGAGATCTATTAAAATGCGAAGATAGATGACTGTGTCTTGATCCATGTGGCTGAATGCCCCTGTTCTCGTCAGTTGCTCGTGGGCGATGCCACATCGAGTAGCTAGCTGGTTGTGGCCACCACAACGCGTGGTGTATCACGGGGGCCCCGCGCTTGTATTCAACTCAAATAGCATTCCGCCGGCACAGCTCGTGACAGCCAGTTTGCGTTTGACTCTATTAGGAGCATTGCGCCCCTCCGGCTGGTGTGGGGGTATTTTAGAAGGTACATCTCTCGGGCCCAGGTGACGGGTACGAGTGGGTGATGTGCTAGATCATACCGCACAATCCACATAGATTAGAAGCGATGTCATCACCCTCTAAGTATATGGCCGCGTACCTATATTCACATCGCTCGGTACCGCATCCGCAACACGGGCACACCTGGCCGCGGGTTCTGGCAGGCAGACACCCGCCAAGCAGCCCATCTCTCCGTTTCTTCACTGACAGAACATGGACTCGTGTCGATAGGTGCAGGCGATAGCGACCTACCTTTTCCCAGGGTATTTTTCCGTGATCTTGTGTCTCGCGTTGCCCACATCCTTCTCTGCTCTAGTACGGCCAGAGCTTCATATCCATCGCGTTGAATGAAGTCACGAAGTTCGTGCAGACGCTAGCAACGTCGGAGCCTACCACATGATCACTGCGCTACGACAAGCAAACAGGCTCAGGGCCAGGGAAAGCATCGAGTTGGCTTGTACCATTCATGGTGGCAGAGCGCGCCGTGATACCTAGGTTACCGATGATCACACGCGAGAAGAACCGACGAGCTTGTAGGCTCCGGTGTGAAGGACAAACCAAAGCCACTCAGGGTGTCGTTGCTGTAGCTGCATGTGGTCAGCCCCAAGATCACGCAGTCTGTCGCGGCTCTGATAAATCAGAGCGAATCGCGTGTTCCACGAAGAAGTAGATTCCAAAAACATCGAGACGTCCGGGGCGCCACGTAGGTATGTTCTTGCTCTAGTGCTTGATGTACCATCCCCGAAAAGTGCAAGGATCCGGGCGGACGCCCGTCGTGTGTACTACACCTATAACGCGGCCAACCACGGTGCAACAGTCGTCGAGTGATCCGCACGGCGCAGACAACAGCAGCATAACAGCGACGAAATTGAACTTTCCAGAGAGGCCAGGACATGATTTGCGAGTCACAGGGTGCGACCGCGCAAGGCCACAAGACCGAGTTCAACGAGGGCGGTGTGTCGGAGCGCGCTCACGAGCCTTGCTGGCTGCGAGGCCGTCGAGCGCACCCGCGGAGCGTCTGTGAGATCCAGGGCTGCAGAAAGGGGGCAGTGTTCCGGAACATGAGACGCGACGCGCAGAGGCCCAGGCGGCCATTGGAAGCGGTGCTGTAGATGCGACGTCCAAAGCACTGGCAGACACGCGTTAGAGGAGCGATGGTTTGAAGGATGGCGGGGACATCGTCGACCTGAGACGACGCATGCGTTACATCTGGTGGGCGGCAGGGGCTGGGCGATCGAAGCACGGAGGGTGCATATCGAGTTGGCGGTCGTCGCGGTCGCATGTCCGGTAGATGAGCGCGCTCAACGAGTTAGGGCGGGAGACAGGATGCGCCTACGTTGCTGTTTTCCGGCACACATGATGCGCTCGGAGGGGCGTCTGTACGTACGGAGGGCAGAGGTGTCCGCTATGGGTCCCTGTGGTAGGTGGGCGCGATCAGGGAGGATCTGCCGTGCGAGCGCACCGTCGCGGAGTCGAAAGAGGAGGATTCTGGACTCCGGGGCGCGATCGACGGCGCTTGGCGCAGGCTGAGGAGTGTCGCTAAGAGATCTTAGCAGCTGTGATGGGGCAGTTGGCTGAAAGGATCTGGGCGCAGACGCGGCCCGCTCTGGTCGGACAGCGCGATGAGAACACGGTGGCGGCGCAACCCGCTCGACGGCGATGGCGTCGAGACTCATGCGCTGGACTAGTTTCCAATCATCCTGCTACGCTGTCGCAACCGAAGGGCGAGCAGTCGGGCACAGCCGGCGCGATCAGGGCCTAATGAGGCTCCGCGATGGCTGTCTCGAGGACGCCAGTGATCGGAGATGAGCGCGCACGGTGAGCACAGCGCAATCGCGTGGCCAGGCTGGGCACGAAGCACGCGCGAGAAGACAATGGCGAGACAAAGGCCGGGTGAGTAACGAGATTTGCGGCGGCGGCGTGGGATGGGGACCGGGCGCAGTGCATGAGCTTGTGCGACGTGCGCTAGCAGGAGTCGCGCGTGCACTCATGGGCGGCGTCGCACTCGTGCTACGGCGAAGATTGACGATGGGACAGAATATGTGCAGGTGCTAGAGGGCGATCTGCAGGGTGAACATCGTGGGCGCGCACGCCATTCATCGTCCGCAAAGTGCGCTTACACAGGCGGGTCGTCCTTGGCCCGGTCACGTTGATGAAGGCGCCCACGCCTGGTGCGAAGACCAGTTGCCTTTGTGTCGGAGGAGGTCCCCTATGGTTCTGAATAACAACCCTGAACTGGCGACAGAGCAGCCGGCGGCAGGGCGTGCATCGGCATGGCCATCTCGGGGATGCGCTCGGAGGCAATAAACGGAAGATGGGCCCACAAGGGTCCACATCCGGAAGGCGCAATCCAGGAACCAGGCCGGGCTGCTCTCCCTAAAGTCGCGGCTGCGGCTGCTGGCCTCTCGCTCTCTCTTCGACGTCCACGATGCCATTCCAGAGGTATCTCGATGGCGACCCGTCCCCCGACGCTGCCCTCGACCTCGGCGTCGACGCGAACACGTTCTCCGCCAATGTCCAGTTCCACCTTCCCAATCACATCCTCGGGGCTCCCATCCTCGCCCCCGGCGGAGGCGCAGAGGTCCTCCCCTCGGGCTGCATCAGTACCCAGAACCCCTTTGCCCAATCCTGGTACACGCCAACAAGCTATGCCAGGTATTCCGATCATTCGTGAGTCTGTCTTCCCTCCGTCCCACCCTCGCTCACCTTATCGCAGTCCTCTCCCAAAACCCATGCACCACACACAGCCTCCTCACCACCAGCTGCTCCCAGAAACCCCCTTCGCTCAGCAGCATGCCTATCACCCTCCGCCATCCTCTCTGCCCACCAACTACCTCTCCCGACCCACTCCATACCCCACCCCGTATGCGCTTCCGTTATCTAACCCGTTCACTAATCACTCCCAAACCCCTTCTCGTGCTGCTCCCTCTCCCTCTCCCAGTCCCCTCATGCCTGCCCCCATGTCCATGTCCTTCCCATCCGCCGCAGGTCTCCCCGTCTACTCCACCTCCGGCTTCGACCTGCTCTCCATCCTCTCTCGCATCGCCAACCGCCCCCGCCCCAACATCGCCCTCGGCCCCGTCGACATGACCTGCGCCTTTGTCGTCGTCGATGTCCGCCGCTTTGACGCTCCCATAGGTCAGTGCACTGACGCCACCCTCGCGTGCCCCCTCTGACGCGCATCCCAGTGTACGCGTCTCCCACTTTCTGCTCCCTCACCGGCTACCCCGAGCACGAGGTCCTCGGCCGCAACTGCCGCTTCCTCCAGGCCCCCGACGGCCGTGTCCAGCGCGGCGACGTCCGCCGCTTCACCGCCCCAGACGCCGTCGCCCACCTCCGCCGCTGCACGTCCCAGGGCAAGGAGTGCCAGACCAGCATCATCAACTACCGCAAGGGCGGCGCCCCCTTCATCAACCTCGTCACCGTCATCCCCGTCCCGCCCGACGGCGACCACGACGCGGTCGCGTACCACGTCGGCTTCCAGGTCGACCTCGCACAGCACCCCGGCGCCATCCTCCAGAAGCTGCGCGACGGCTCCTACATCGTCGACTACTCCCGCCGCTCCATGCTCTCTGCCGCCGGCCCGCGGAACTGGCGCGCCACCGCCGCTGCCATGCACGGCGTCTCGAACGAGCTCCACACGCTGCTCGCCGACCCTGCCTTCCTCGCCTCCGCCCCGCTCGCCCTCCCGTCTCCCGTCGCGCCCTCGACGCCCGCCACGCCCGGAGACAAGGCCGACCCGTACGACGGCAACAAGCCGCTGCACCTCCTGCTCCTCGCCTGCGCCCCCGACTTTGTCACCGTCGTCTCCCTCAAGGGCGCCTTCCTCTACGTCGCCCCCGCCGTCCGCCGCGTGCTCGGCTACGCCCCCGACGAGCTCGTCGGCCGCTCCCTCACCGAGCTCTGCCACGCCGCCGACGTCGTCCCGCTCATGCGCGAGCTCAAAGAGTCCTCCGTCCTCCCCGCACCCGCGCCCCAGCCCACCGACGACGCGTCCGCGGCCGCCGCCGCCCACGAGCCCGGCCCGCGCCGCGTCGACCTCCTCTTCCGCATGCCGAACAAGGCCGGCGCGACCGTCTGGGTCGAGTGCCGCGGCCGCCTGCACGTCGAGCCCGGCAAGGGCCGCAAGGCCATCATCCTCAGCGCGCGCGTCCGCGCCATGCCGCGCCTCGCGTGGGCGTCCGTCGCCCCCGCCCCCGAGCGCGAGTTCTGGGCGCTCCTCGGCGCGCGCGGCACCGTGCTCTTCGCGGGCGCGGCCGTGCGCGACGTGCTCGGCTGGGGCGCGGGCGAGGTCATCGGGCGCCCCGTCGCGGACTACGTCGCGGGCGGCGCGGGGGACGCGGACGTGCGCGCGGTGCTGGGCGCGCCGGGCGCGGAGGCGGGCGCGCGGAGCGTGCTGTGCGAGATGCACCGCAAGGACGGCGCGTGTGTGCGCGTGCGCGTCGTGCTGCACCGCGCGCAGGCCGACGCGGACGCGCGGGGCCCGGTCGTGTGCCAGGTGCGTGTGTGCGACGGCGGCGCGGGGGAGGACGCGGGCGCGCGCGAGGGGGCGCACGCGGCGGGGGCGAGCGTGTTTGCGGAGCTGGCGACGGCGCGGGGGAGCAGCTGGCAGTACGAGCTGCAGCAGCTCAAGTACACGAACCGCCGGCTCGCGGAGGAGGTCGCGGCGCTGGAGGCGGAGGTCGATGCGAAGGGCGGGCCGCTGCAGGAGCAGCGCGGCCAGGAGCGGCACCCGCAGCAGGCGCAGGCGTATGCAGCTCACCCCCCGCCCCGTCCTTCACAACAACAGCAGCAGCATGCGCACTCTGAACGGCAGCTGCCCCCACCACAGCAGCAGCAGCAGCAGCCGTACCTGCCTCCGCCGGCACAGCCGCCGTACCAACAAGCATCCCAGCCGCGTCAGTATCCGCTACCATTGGCGCATCACGCAGTGTCGTACACGCCGGATCTGCCGGACCTGCCATATCCCTCCTCGCACTCACGCGCGCAGCAGCCGCACGTCGACATGCTCCCCCAGCCGGACTGGCGGGCGCATGCGGGATTGTACCCGGGCGTGCCTGCGACGCATCCAGGCTCGCTCCCGATGAAGCGTCCGTGGGACGAGATGAGCGGCGTGGACCCGACGTGAAGAGAAGGACAGCTTGCTGGACATGGCGTGTCGTTGTCTGTGATTTTTTTCTCGCTCAGTGCTTTCGGATACCAAAGTCGATGCTGTCGTGCGTGCTTTCGTTTGCTGTCGCTGTCTGATGCATTTCAGGATACGGTGTATATTATTAGAGTACTGGATCATGCCATATATCTCGCATGTAGATAACTTCTCTGTCACATAATTCGTACATAGGGCATTAGACAGGCATATTGCGCCGGCACGGGATTGCAATGTGTCGATTCATCCGCAATTGTGTGACTCTGGCACAATGAGCGCGCAGAACAGGCGGGAGATGCTTCCGCTGTCTTGGTTCTCAAACGCCCCTGATAAGCATTATGTACGTACTTGTGTGACAATGCGATTGCAGACTTGATGATGTTACATGACTTGTGGTAGCGTAGTAAATACAACGGAGTACTATTAGGATGATGGAGCAGCCAGCCCGTCAGTGTCGTTATCATGTCATGGCAGCGGCTCGCGGTTGCTCGAGAGCCGATTGAGGTGGATGTACACGTCCGTCCCGAAGCCGTCCATCGAGATGAGGCGCAGGTCTCCGCCAAAGTACCGCGCGTACTGCAAAGGGGTCACGATCTGACATAGCGGGGCGTCATGCATGCACTCACCAGCCTCGACAGCGGGAGCCCGTACCCGAAGCCAGCCATCGGTGCCTTGAAGTCGCTCGCCTGGAAGTCTTGGTCGATGTTCTGACCCTCCATCGTCGTATACATGTATGTCCAAATGAGCGGTATCGCGCTGCGTGGGATGCCCCCGCCCTCGTCGGAGATCTTGACTGTGATGTCTTCCTTGCCCTCGACGACGATCACCTTGATCGGCGGGAAGCGGTCCTCCGCGTCCGCACCATATCGCTCAACGACCGCACGCAGCGAGTTCTTGAGCAACTCGAAGCAGATGTGCGAAAGGTGCCCCGGGACGTACGCAAAGTGCAGGTTCTTTGGACAGATGAGCTGCACGGGCGGGCCCTTGAACATCGCGTAGTGCTCTTCACACACGAACCTGGATGAAGTCAGCGGACGGGGCTGCGACGCATATTAAGTTGACATACCGGGCGTTTTCGATGGCCTCCTGCACGATTTCATGCACATTCTGCAAAAGCGACACGTTAGTGACCGTGAACACGAGGGAATGGCGCAGTACGCACCGCGCTTGTGCAGATGATTCCAACGTAGTCCGGATGAGGCTGCAGAGTATTGAGGGCAATGTCTGTTCATACATGAGAAACACAGGTATTTTGACTCCCCCAGCACACCACTCACGCTGGCCGATGAGGAACCGGATGCCTATACGCGAGAGATAAAAACGATCGAGCCAGTGCTGCACATCGAGGTTGATGTTGCGCGCGTTCTGCCGGCGTTTCCATTCGAGCACACCCTGCGCGACGGTCGTGACGGTCGGGTCGTGTCGCTTCTTGATCGACTCAAGCGTCTTGGTAAAGCGGCGATTAAAATCCTGCACCTCTGGTGGCCAATTAATTGAGGACGTATTCGCGTAGTACCTGCGCCGCGTGTGCAAAGATGAGTTCGGTGTGGCAAGCGAAGCGGAAGCGCGGCGCGGCACACCTGCGCTCCATAGGTATCCGCAGCTTGTGGCCGCCACACACCCCGTTCCCGTTCATCCGCCCATTCTCGGATAGCTTCGCGTCTGGGGCAGGTGGGAGTGGGATGCCATAGTCATCTGCACCAAAGTACGGCAGCGAGGGGTTCGGCGTGGACTCGGGCAGCGACGAGTCTGCCGGGGTGGCGATGAGGGCCTCGCGGATGTCCTTGGGGAGCTTGGGTAGAGGGAACGAGATAAGCTCCTGTAGGAACGGGACGCGCGGTCAGACCTGCACTCGCAGAAGACGCGGAAGAGCATAGGGCAGCGCGACGCACCTCGAACGACTGCGCGTACCAATTCTTGACTTTCTCAATCGACGGCATGTCGCTGAGATGGTGAGGAAGGGTGTCGAGCTCCTTGACGCGATGCGCGAGTCGAATAGGCAGCTCCTCTGTGCCAGGTGCATGAGCGCCACCGCTGTGGCCTGAATGAAGCGGAAGACGCACCGAGCAAGAACTGGCTGGCCCTGAACAATGTCCCCTGGCCAGGATTCTGCCCGAAGAGCACCATCTGCTGCAACGAGACTGGTAAAGCATGCACATGTTCAGAGCTGCACGCACGACGCGTAGAAAGCGCACTGACCGCCGGTCTGGGGAAAGGAGGCATAGTGGTGAATTCTCTCCCAGAGACTAGGTGATATGCGGAACATGGCTGCAGCTGGTCGTGGTCGTGGTCGTTGTTGTTGCCAGCAGCATGCAGTGGGGGCTAGAGGTGGTGGCGAGTCACATGCGGAGGCCAGGAGCGTCGAGAGCAAGAGCACTTAGTCCGGGGATGACCTCGCCCGGTTCCCCGCACTTAGCCGCCCAGACCGTTTACCCCACGGGCCACGGCAACCTCCAGTCATGTGTTTTCCATTTCTCTCTGTTCAATGTTCATACACGGGCATCTAAATGTTGCTACAGCCGTATGTTTATGAATACAAGGTCGCAGCCTTGCGCCTCGACCACCTTCCCATACCTTCCCCTTCGGCCGATGTTCCACCCGCTCTAGCCCCGCCTCAGGCTGGTTTCCATTCAAAGTGGTGTTTGCCTGCCCGACCGCAATCAGCCGAATTGCCGGACGAGTATAATACAGTGCACACACCTTTCTTGACCTCTCCGGGCCCTTCGGACTTCTTGTCGTATGAATGCGCCCCAAAGTAGTCAAGTTCCGCCTCCATGAATTGGCTCGGCAGGTGTATCCCCGCGCAATACTTGTAATATTCGAGGCTCGCGCTCAACGTTGGGCTACAGTGCATCGTTCAGTCTCGTTAACGCCGATAGCAGTGGCAGATCGACACTCACATATGAGCGTTCCACTCCAGTGCGGTAGCCACGACCCGCTTCAGCGCAGGGAACGTCCGACGGATCTCGTCCCCCACGGGCTTTAACGTGAGCACATTCATGATTTTGCCCTCCCTCTCCAGCACCGGTTGCAAAAGATCCGCGATGTACTCCGAGCGGATGATGCAGCCCTCACGCCAGATCCGGATGCAATTGGCGAGGCCCACTTCCCAGCCCTCATCCTCGCTCGCGCGCGCGATCAAGTTAAGTCCTTGCACAAACGACGCTAGACATGCACAGTACACCGCGAGGCGTAGATCCTCCAAGAAATTGTCACGGAACCCGTCGTCGACCTGCTGCTTTCGTGCAGCGCCCAGATCCTGCCCGAGGTTCTCGACGACGCACAGCCGCTGTGAGCGGTCCGCGGACGCGATACGGAAGAAGTGCGCGCTGGAAATCGTGGGCGCGGAGACGTGGCGGCGTGCGGCTTCCATTACGGACCATACACCAGTACCTATGCCTGTGCATCAACACGCGTTAGTAAAGTTAAATGTTGCGTATGCATACCTTCCGAGTCATCAGCATCTTGCACGACCTTGTCCTGCACCTCATTCAGTACATGGCTTGGCGGGCCTTCCGGATGGTGGCGACCGCATATATCCGCCCCGATGTTGATCAAAAAATTGCGTTTCTAGGCGTCGTCAGCTTGCGATCGTACGCGTGTCAAGACGTTCTGCTTCAGCACAAAGTTCGGGTAGGGCGGCTATGACTAACCCCCAGCCCTCTCTGCTTGCCCGTCGAGTGCATCGAGAATAACGAAGGGCATTGTGCAACTCAGGACAGGCCCTTCTCAAGAATGTTCAATTCCGGATGCCGTCGGACAACAAACGCTATCACGAAATGCACAGGGGCAATGCACCTCGAGAGCACATGACAAGAAGCAACCACTTACTAGCTCGCCCTCAGACCCCCACTTATTGAAGATCATTGCGATGTCGTCCAGCTTGATGTGTAAACATTTGTACATCAGCTCCCAAGCCTCGCTCACAATGCCCAAGATACCCTGCTCGATACCGTTGTGCACCATCTTCACGTAGTGCCCGCAGCCCGCAGGGCCCATATTCACTACACACGACAGGCCCGTCTTCGGGTCCTTCGCGGCAAAGCGCTCCAGCAGGGGCATGACGGCGTCGAGGGCGGTCTTGTCCCCACTTGGCGAGATACTGGGCCCATGACGCGCGCTCTGATACCCGCCTGACACGCCCATGGATAGGTATGAAATTCCCTGCGGCTGGAGGGTTTTTTGACGGCGCTGCGCGTTCTCGTACCACTCATTGCCACCATCGAGGATCACGTCACCGCGCGTGAGCCATGGGCGCGCGTCCTTGAGCACCTCGTCTGCCGGGCTGCCATGCGGAATGCTAAGCACGAGGAGCTTGGGTACGGACGCGCCGCCGAGACTCTCCATGAATAGACGGTACTCTTTGAAGGACGCGATGCGGGTGTGGTACTTGGCATCGAGGCCGTCACGGAAGACGGTCGTGAGGTTGTCAATGTTCTCGGGCTTTGTGTCGAAAACGGAGACGTCCATGTCATTCTCGGCAAAGAGCATGGCCATATTGGAGCCCATAGAGCCCGCGCCTATGACGCCGATCTGGAGAGCGAGGTCAGTGTATGCATCGGAATGGTGACTACGGTCGCTATACCTTTGTGAAACTATGTTGCGACATTGGGAAGGGAAGAAGGGGAACGAAAAGAGAAATGTCAAAGGAGCTGGATTATAAGGGAGTAAGTGAATGCCTTTGACCTTGACGTCATTGCGAGTCACGTGGGCTCCGCGCCGACATGGCAGAGTCGTCGCAGCTTGCTTTAGTGACACCGAACGAGATTGTTGAATTATCACACCCACGTTGTTAAAGGCAAAGTCACCGACAGAAGCGAGGCATCTGGTCAAAAGATGAGTCAAAGGTGAAGTTCGGAACGGCACAAGATGTTGCTGCAGTATTCCAATCGCACCCGATTACCGACAGGTTATACACACAAACTCAGAGCACGCAGCAATTCAGATGAACAATAATGGCGAGAGAAGTCTGAGGGTGGCGCGTGAGTCAAGGTTCAAGCATAAAAGCATACATATATAAGCTGATATCAGAAAGCCCACAACTCGGCAGTAACATCCCCCCTATTACTCGGTCGTGCATCTGTGTCCATTGCAGGTTCCTTCCTGATGCGCTTTTGGATCTCAGAATCAATGAGCTGAGTGGACGTGTCAGCATCGCCAGCCCGTAACAGCGCAGCGAGAAGCGAAGCAGACGCACCGTGCCGTACGTATGGTCGAGGAAGTCTTCCAGCGCATACGAAGGTCGCGTGAACGCCTCCGAGAAGATGCACGCCAGTGTGGCGACGACAGAGTGATAATGCTGCGTGTGCGTGTACAACTCCCACAGCGAAGAGTCGAGCGCACCAGACAGCGCAGGTACGGGCTCAGCCATGGAAAAGGGGTCTAGTAAGCGAGAGTCAGACTGGACATCCATTGTGAACTTGGGCAGAAAGATGCAGGTCGCACCCTTGCTCCGTTCGTCGTCGTCAGCGACGCGGTGAATCATGTGCATCAAGGCTGGATGACGCTTGAGCAGATTGTACGTGAATGGGATGATCATCACGATGGCAGCTGGTGGTGAGTTGAGCGAGAGCCGCGATAGCCGTTTAACAAATGCTGCGACGAGGGCTGCTGGAAGGTGCCTGAGGGATACAGGAGCGGTCGGTACACGGAAAGATGCTCGGTGTTATGAAAGATACGCACGTAGAGGAGAGGAAGAGCTCAGTCAGTCGGAAGAAGCGTGCGCGGTGCTTGAGGTGGAGAACATCCCGGTCTAGAAAGGTATAGAGGCGGGTGTAGAATGATGGGTAGTCGCTGTGAGGTCGAATGTATTGTTAGAATGAGATAACAGTGGGGTGCAATGCATGCTCACAGATTGTAGTCTTTCATTAAAGTGAAGAGTGCATTCAGTGCTAGCAAGCCCACCGTGCCGCCTACATCCGACAACTAAGCTCAGACAAATTGCCACATCAGCGAAGAAAACGAGGGGACGCACCGTAGTCGACGCAAGAGCCCACCCAGTCCATGATAAGCACAGGACGCGTCAGATGGGGAATCACACCGCGGTGTAGCACGTTCAACACGCGCAACGCGTCCGCCCGCGTCGTAAGCCGCGATAGCAGCGCAAGCCATGTCCGTGTGAACACTGCACGATGAGACTGCAGCGAGTGCAGCGATTGGTGCAATGTGAGCGTGTGCACACGAGCACCGGAAGCTTTAGCCTTAGTTTTGGTGACATCTGATGCAGCAGGATCTTGGTCAAAGAATGCGCGCCAGTCATCTTCCGGCGGCAACTTGTTTTCCTCTTCTGCCCCGTCCCCTTTGGCAGATTCGTCATTCGTGGATGCAGACTTAGGTAGTGGGGGTCGGGCACTGAGCTCCTCGACCCAGAAGGTGTTGAGCTCGGAGGGCTCAGTCGGAAAGGTCGTGAGGCCCTCGAGTATGCTCAGAACATTGCGTGCGATGTCTGAGTCGTTTTCGCCCATTTGTGTTGTGAGGATAGTTCTGGCGGACTGAGGTCAGAGGTGTGCATGACGTTGAAGAAAGTGAGACTTTACGTACCCTGCTTCTCGCAGGACGAACCACCGTATGTCATCATGCACGTCGAACAATGTCTGCAAAAATGTGTTCATGACATCTGCGTCTAGTAGTTTGTCCTCTTCTGATACACTTTTCGTTTTCTGCTTCTTACGAGGAGCGGCAACGCGTGGCGAGGGCGGACATCGGAGGAGAGCATTTACAATTTTGCGAAAGTGTGACATGTGGAACTGCGGTTGAGATGCCTCTCCATCGGATGAAGATTTCGTTGCAGCAGTCGACAAATGTTTCTGCAGTGAGAAAAGTATTTGGAGGGCGGATGACTTCGGGACTGTCAGTTTCTAGTTGTCAAGTATGACCATAGCCACACGTACCTTCAAGGTAGAGTCTGTATCTTTCAGCAGCCCGCAAAGTAAGGTGATGTACGCATTAAGCCTTTCGACAAGCCATGCATGGACTGCTCTGCTATCCTCGTCCGCCGAGTGCCGCGCAGTAAGCAAGCCATTGTAAATGATGAGAACAAAGACCCTGTAGAGTGCATATATGGCTTTGCAGAGATGTGAAGCGTCCTCCAGGTCCAGCGCAACATCGAGAAGGTCTGCCAGGGCATTCAGTGAGGCGTTGTTCGACACGGCGGCAGTAAGTAGTGTCTCCAACTCGCGGATGCGGGGGAGGACGGCATCATTGGTGGATTTGCGCTTTTTGGATGGTAGTGAGGAACGAGAGGCAGACATGTGAGCAAGAGCAGATACAGTCGAGGTTAAGAAAAGACGAAGAAGCAGTTGACCTCAGATCTTCGATCTCGGCATGCACCGCACACAAAGTTCTCGATCAGATCGAAAGACTATCTTGATCCGCCAGGTATTAGCGATTACTTTGAGTTAAATACAATTGACGACAGTACAAAACAAGAAACGGCGAACACACGGACACCAGCCCTCTACTATATCACGATAGTAATTTTACAACTTCTCTGAGATCTCGTCATCACCCATCCATGCTGAATAGATCGTCATCATCTCCCGTCAACACAGGCCCGCTCAATGGACTGAAGGTCGCCGCCTGCGGGTTATAGCCCCGCCCGCTTGGAACCCGTGCACCCACGCCAGTTCCACCTGTCGATGACCTTAGTTAGCCAAGTCATCAAAAGCAATTCCGAAAGAAACTACGTACGTGTCGCAGCTGCCGAGTACGAGAGGCGTGAGAAGTGTGCCTCCAGCCCGCCTAAGTTGGCGGAGCCCGCCGTACCTGAAGCCTGCATCGTAAAGTTGGGCGACATCGATACTTGGTCGAGCGTGTTCCCTGCACCCGGCGACATACTGTGCCATTCGCCCGACGCGCTTTGCCCGTGGCCGAACCCCTTCGTCCCTGGTGAGAAGCCTCCAAGGTGACTGAATGCCCCTGGCGTGGACGGTGATGCGATCGATGGGGGTGGCGGCAGCGCGTGTATTCGCGAGTAACCTGCTGCGAGACCTTGCGGCAGACTCTGTCCGGGGGCGTGCGCTTGCAGCGCGAGAGCAGATGGTGAGAGCGCGCTGCGTCGGTCGTCGGAGTCAGGAAGGAAGCCGTCGCCGCTGGGTATGGGCCGTCCGGAGCCACCCCGATGCATAGAATTGGGATAATACATGTCGGAAGTGGAATTTAATGCACTGGTACGTGGCGGCGAGAGTGCACCTGAATTCAAGCCGGCTCCGTACGCGCCAGGGTACGCGCCATGCGACGCGCCGTGGCTTGTCGACGTCAGCGCGGACAGCAGGTTTGATCGCTGCGTCTTCGCGTTGAGATAATGGTGGTGTAGCCCAGGCAGGAACGCCGCTGATGCGTTCGACGGCGCGAGCATCTCCTCACCGCCCGGGCGCCCAAGTCCTGAGTTCGACGTGAACGAGCTTGGTGTTCCGTTGCCCAACCCACCGCCAAGTGTCGCGCCCGCGTCCCCGTTAGCAGCCGCACCATTGTCCGCCCAGATCGAGCGAATATCCTGCAACAGCGACGGCGCAGGCACGGAACGGGAGTATCGGTGGTGACCCTCGCCGACGGGGCGCGGGAGCCCTGCGTCCTGCTCTGGGCTGACCAGTGTAGGTCGCGCTCCATTCGTACGTGATAATCTCCGCGAGCGCTCCTCTGGAGTGAGCAAGTCGGTGAGGGAGCTGGGCAGGAAATCCTCCAGGTCCTCGTCCTCCACGACCACGTCGTTTGCGACACCATGCGCCGCTACACCGCGCGCACCGCGCTCCGTTGACCACGTAATGGAAGTGCCGAGCGACGCGGAGAGCCCAGAGCGCGCCTTGAGCCCATGCGAAGTGTCGTCCGCCTCGTGAAGCGTGAAGACGGACTGCGTGTGTGGCGCGGAAAACGGGGAGGTGGACAGGCCCGCGGCTGTGGGTGACGTTCCCGCTGTGAATCCGTTCACGCGCGCAGGCGAAGCGCGCGGAGGGGACCCGATGGGCCCGAGATCGGCTCCGTTGGGTGACCCGTGCTGAGCACCATGGCGCGGTGTACTCATGGGCAGGGGTGATGGCGCGCCACTCTCCGCCTTGGGCAAATCTTCCGAAGTAGAATGGTCCGCAAGTGAAGCGTCTGCAATGTTTGTCTGAGCGTCAGGCTTGCCCTGCGCAGGAGCGCTCGGCAGCTTGTTGCTCTCGTCTGGCAGACCGAACGACGCGAAGTCGGTGTCCTTGACAGGGGGTGCAGGAGTGGATGGGGAGAGAGTGGCTTTGAGGGGGTTAGGGCGCGAATTGGATGCGGCCCGAGTGGGCGCAGTAGAGCCAGAAAGTAGTGGATTGCGGGCCTGATTACCGCCGCTGCCGTGGCCGCTTTTGCCTGATCGTCCGCCTCGTCCGCTGCTGCCCCCGGAGTTGCTAGCGTTCGCGGCGAGTTGTGCGGCCTTTTTGTTCTTGCGATCCATAGACATGCTCTGTCCGGGTAAGATGTGTGCGAGGGCGCATTTGTGGCCGAATTTGCAGTTTCCTTTTACAAACCAGGCGCATACTTCCTTCTGTTGCCCAGGCTCGAGCACATTATGGGAGAACGGGCAGGAGCTGCCTGCAGTGCACGAGCCGACCTTGAAAAATTTGCATGGTACGTGAGAGAGATCCTTGGCTGCTCCGACGGAAAAGGTAGGCTCTTCAGGTACGAGGCTGGGAGACACAGACAGCGTACATACTCTTCGCAGGCCCTTTCGCCTTCCCGCTCTTGTCCTTGTCCCTCTCCCTGTCGCGGTCAAGATCCCGTGAGTCTTCGTGCGAGGTCTCGCCGTCCTTCCGGTGTTCTGGAGTGGGCATGTGGTGTGTATGCTACAAGATGTGAAGTGCAGAGAGAGAGTGCGGTCAAGAAAGAGTGCGGAAGTAACCCGAGACGATGCAGACAGGCGGTAGGCGGGGGCGGTCGACCAAACTGGGCCGCCTTCTTCTGCGCCTGTTGCACGTGGTGGCCGAAGCGCGTAAATTTGCACCTCGTAACCCGTGGATAACCCCTTAGCCGAGCCATTTTGGGATAAAAGGTTGCGATCACGTGCGGGCGCGCCTAACAATAGCAGACGAGTTGGCACTGGCACTGGTACTACAGTCAAATACGGCCAAGTGAGCGAGGCCATCTGGTGCCGCCCTTGCTCTTTCTTGTTTACCATCCGAAGCGTGTCACCTCTCTGGCTGGCACGCCTTGTTAACTTTTCAACCTTACTGCCTCCCCGAAGCTGTAGCCCATTACCTTGTCTTGTCGCCATGCCCGACGTAGAGGACCGTGCACCAGCGGCTACTAACTTCGTCGTCGGAAACAACTACCAGGTCCTCGATGTGATCGGCGAAGGTGCCTATGGAGTTGTCTGGTACGTCTATGCTCCCCCTCTCCTCACGACCGTGTGAGGCCGACGCGCTGGCTGCAGCTCAGCCCTGCACATCCCGTCGGAGCGCAAAGTCGCGATCAAGCGCATAACACCGTTCGACCATTCCATGTTTTGTCTGCGTACATTACGCGAGATCAAGCTCCTGAGGCATTTTCATCACGAGAATATCATCTCGATCTTGGACATCCTGCGCCCACCCAGCCTTGCCGACTTCAAGGAGGTCTACCTCGTGCAGGAGCTCATGGAAACGGATCTCCACCGCGTCATACGCACGCAAGAGCTCAGCGACGATCACTGTCAGTACTTCATTTATCAGGTGTGTTGCCACACTTCTTTTTGAGATAGAATCTGATCTGTCGGCCAACTCGCTGCGCTCAGACTCTGCGAGCCCTCAAAGCCCTGCACTCTGCCGATGTGTTGCATCGCGATCTCAAACCTTCTAATCTACTCTTGAATGCCAACTGCGACTTGAAGGTGAGCCAACACGTTACGCCATCGGTGTCGTAAGGCGCCGCGCGTTTCCCAGATCATTGACCGGTCATGCGATTAATCAATAGCTATGTGACTTCGGTCTGGCCCGCTCGGCTCGACCACCTCCAAATGTCGCCAACGATAGCAGTACCTTTATGACAGAATACGTTGCCACAAGGTAAGGTCTAGGCACACCTAGCTCTGATCTCGTGGCCGAGTCTCATTTTTTCCGTCCGTAGGTGGTACCGTGCTCCGGAAGTCATGCTGACTTTCAAGGAATATACCCGTGCGATTGATATCTGGAGTGTGGGCTGCGTACTCGCGGAAATGCTCAGTTCGAAGCCTTTGTTCCCTGGTCGAGACTGTAAGTCTCCATAGCATTCTTTACTACGGTATGCTGCGGTCGCATTGAACCATCGCACTGGAATCACAGACCATCACCAACTGTCGATTATTCTCGACGTGCTAGGAACACCGTCCCTAGATGATTTCTACGCGATCACGTCGCCGCGATCGCGAGAATACATCCGCGCACTGCCATTTAGGAAAAAGAAGCCGTTCAACACCATTTTCCCAACCGCAAACCCGTTGGTATGTCTAAGTGGCACCGCCATTTGCTTTTATTGACAACATACCCTTGTCAGGCCCTTGACCTTATGGAGAAATGTCTGACGTTCAGCCCGAAAAGGCGAATCGAGGTCGAGGACGCTCTGAAACACCCTTATTTAGAGGTATATCGCTCGTAGCCATCCACACGATACTCTCAAGATAAGACTGATTCAATGTGAGTAGGCATATCACGACCCACAAGACGAGCCAACGGCAGAACCGCTGGACCCCTCGTTCTTCGATTTCGATTACGGCGAAGCGCTTGGTAAGGAAGAACTGAAAGGTTGGTACGCCTTGCGAGTGGACCTTCGCCCTGGTTAACGTGTTTTCCGCTTAGTCCTGATCTACGAGGAGGTTACAACACCGCGAACGCAGTCATAACACGGTTGTGCAAGCAGAGTTGGTAATGTGCTTGGATGGTATACCCTGCAGCTGATCGGATGGACGCCAGCGTCCGCGTAGTAATATGTATCATAATAAGTACATACAGATGAGTTTACCGTGTGTACATATAATAAGACAATCTCGTAACCCATGGGACGAGCAATCCCTCGATAGAAACTGACCACTGAGTAAGAACGGGCTCAGGCTGGGCAAGCTGTTTTGCAGCCAGCTTGGTTATGTACGTCCCTCACAGCTACGTCCTTATCAAAGTATATACAAGAAGCCCCAGTAATACATTTATGGACACCTGTATACTCATGCCCTCCAGGCCTTGCCGCGACCCACGGATGTGCTTTCCAAAAAGGAAATAACATGACGTTTCACCACTAACCGACGCAAATTTCTATCCTCGACATTTTGTCAAGGCCTTCTACTTGAACATCATCTCCTGCAAAGCAACATGCGAATGTTGCTGTAGGACGCTGTAGCCAGGATGCCCAGTTTCAATATTGAAATCTCATCTGGATCAATCCAGGTCGCAGCCGTGATACGGATCACGTGCTGGTGAAGACCACCGATCGAGGAATTGGTCGAGTCCGAGTCGTTCTCCAAGTCGTTCTGGCGTCCTTCCCTCCATCTTTCCCTCGTCACCGGGGCTTTCTGATATTCAGACACAAACATGCGGTACTACGAACAGCGCTATCCGGAAGTTGACGAACTGGTCATGGTCCAGGTCCGTCAAATTGCGGAGATGGGCGCATATGTTAAGCTCGTATGTTTTCTGATGGGTGCGATATGGTCTGAGCATCCTGATACGTCTGTCAGCTGGAATATGACAACATCGAAGGAATGATTTTGCTGTCTGAGCTTTCTCGCAGACGTATCAGGTCGATTCAGAAGCTTATCCGAGTCGGCCGCAATGAGGTCGTGGTTGTGCTCAGGGTAGACAAGGAGAAAGGTACATCCTCCTGCCCTTCTTAAAATAATTTCTGAGGGCCGAATTTCCCAGGTTACATTGATCTTTCAAAACGACGTGTGTCTCCCGAGGACATCACGAAATGTGAAGAGCGCTACCTGAAGTCAAAGGCGGTGTCGTCGATTATGCGTCATGTCGCATCCAAAATCCCCTCCGTTAACGCCGAGGGCGCAGAAGTACAGAACGAGGCAGCCGAGGCAGAAGTGAAGGAGGCGAAGAAGGCATCGCGGCGCGCACGGAAGGAGGGCAACGAGGACGAAATCCTGGAGGAGACGGGCGTGCCTGGAACAAGTGCGAACGAGGAGGAACGTCTGGAGCAGCTTTATGAGCAGATCGCTTGGCCACTCGGGAAGAAGTACGGGCATCCGTACGATGCGTTTAAGCTCGCATTGACGTGCGTGCCCCCGCCCCCTCTCTCCTACCCTTACCAACCAAAGTGTTACCTGTCTCTTGTCACTGCTCAGTGAGCCAGACACAGTGTGGTCATCATTGCTTAATCCAGTCCCTCAGTCGACGCTGAACATCCTCACGGCTACGATTGCTCGCCGCCTTACGCCGCAACCGATCAAGCTACGTGCGGACATCGAGCTCACCTGCTACACACCAGCAGGAATCGACGCCATTAAGAAGGCCCTGCGCGCGGGCGAGCGCCAGAGCAGCGAAGCCGTCCCGATCAAGGCGAAGCTTGTCGCACCGCCGTTGTACGTGCTGAGCACGAACGCCACCGACAAGGTATGTATCATATCCTCTAGTATTGGGAACACAATTAGGCTAATCTGGGATGTAGTACGCTGCGGTGGACCGTCTTGAGCGCGCCATTGAATCAATACAACACACGATCGAGAATAATGGCGGCTCGCTCGTCGTCAAGATGAAGGTACGCCGCTCTAGATGCTATATCTCCACCCGGCCTATTCACGTGCTTGCTTGCTGCATTAGCCGAAAGCGATCTCTGAGACAGAAGAGCATGAATTCGCGCAGCTCATGGCAAAGGCAGGGCGTGAGAATGCGGAGGTATCTGGGGACGAAGATGACGAGGAAGCCATCTAGCCATGGTCATGTCTGGCACACGCGCATATTTGTATACATCAGTAAAATCAATATGGTCTTCTAGTCGCGTGAAAGAAGTTACCATTATTGGTCATCAGCCCTAGTGGAAAACTGACCCGTGTTCAGCTGCATCACTTGGGCTGTATTCGGTAACCCTGTCTGTCGGATTCTGACTTCCCTGATCGGGATGCTTGATGTCCGCGGTTGCGATCCCCGCCCCCGGCGTCCATCCGATAGCTTAGCTTTTTATCTGTCTCGCTACACGTGATACCTATGTTCTCTACTTATACTTCACTTCCCCGCTCCCCCCTCCTTTCCTCAGTCGTTGTATCACCACGGCTGAGACTTACACAATATGGTACAGTTTCTAAACCGCCTACAGTTGCCGACCTATACCAGGTCTACTTTTGGAATCTTGCCTTTTTGATCTTTGATCTCTGCCTGGTGTGGACCTCGACTTCGGTGCTTGTCTCAGATCTCCATGTCCCTTTCCCAGTGTCCTGTCCATACACTCTTGTCCACTTGACACAACTATTATCTTTTGAATTGCTACTGACACCCAAATTTAGGGACACTCCATGGAGCCATGGTGCATGTTTGTCATGACTTGGTACAGTGTCTAGCTGTTTTTTTAATTTTTTTCCTTTTTGTGGGCTCAAACCCGTGACCTCTGTGCTGTACGCTCGAACAGTGCACACAGCCTGCCCTTAACTTCCCCTGTATATAAGCCGGCCTCTGCTGCTCTAGGGACCTCAGTTTTGACCTCTTGTCCCTAGGTCAGTAAGCCCTCCTTTGTATCTTTTTCTTACTTAACTAACCAATACATTTTCTTGTTCCTAGCCTTGAATTTGAGCATTGCTCATTCATCACTTTGGTCAATACCCAATCAAACACCCCTGGGCTTTTGGTTTGTTTGTTCCCCTGTTGCTTGACTTGAAGTTGTGACATTGGGTTGAAACTCCCACACCCCACCAGTGTTCACACAAACTCCCTCCTTCACTTCACTTCCTACAGGTTGAGTGGTGTGCACCCTTACAATACATAGATAGCCTACTGTACATCACCACCACTCAGAGAACAAACTTTTCAGTGTCTGCACTTTAGTGGATGACACTTGTCCTTACAGACACATGGACTAGGTTCCTGCTGCATACTAGCCAAAAGTAGTACTGGGCCCCACATGAACTGCGAACTCCAGTGTCATCTTGGGTGCCATAGGTGTAAGCTAGATAGCAATGGCCTTTCATAGCACGTGCACCTCCCCTTCCTTCCCCCTTCATCGTGGCTAATGATGCCTTTGATTGCACTGTATCAAAAGGCGACGCAGGGAGCAGTTGCACAGGACTAGCACTAAAGGACTGAATGCCACAAGTGGGGCTGAAGTCGAAGTGGGTCACAGAAGTATATATTAAAGGGTCGCTACAGAGCTCTTTATATACATGAGCAAGGGAAAGCATTCCCACGGCAGAACAATAGGTAAAAGAACAATAGAATCCAAATGGAGAACAAGGGCCACTTGGCCACAGGAACAATGGAACAAAAGAAGTGTGGCCGGAGCTGTGCTCCGGTCCGAATGCTCCGCAATTGATACAACCATGTGGTCACATGGTGTTGTGGCTCCCGCCACCGGGGGATCGTCCTAGGCCGACCAGGGGACTGTGGCAGAGCACATTGTGACATACCCCCCCTGATCTGCCAAGTCTCACAGGGAGACTAGGACACCTCAATACCCATCCCAGTGCGACAGAATGCGACCTTGGGTGCAGGCAATGGCTTGGTGAGACAGTCTGCAAGCATGTCTGCAGTGGGGATGTAGGAGGGCTTGATGCGCCCAGCCTCCACAGTGTCTCTGAGCCAGAAAGTGCGCAGGTCGAGGTGCTTCATGCGGCCATGATGTTCAGGATTCTTGGACACATTAATGCTCGACTGGTTGTCCATCTGCAGGGGCGAGGGAGCGTCCACAGTGTAGCCAAACTCGGCCATGAGATTGCGCATCCAGAGTATTTCCTTGCCAGCATCCACTGCAGCAACATACTCCGCCTCTGTAGTCGAAAGTGCAACTATGGACTGGAGTTTGCTGGACCAGCTGATTGCTCCTGAGCCAACCTTGACCAAGTAGCCACTGGTGGAACGTCCAGAGTCTGGACAGTCACCATGAGCAGAGTCTGTGAAGGTCACAAAGGGTGCACCCAGGTTGTCAGGCCTGTAGACGAGCTTGTGGTCCTTGGTGCCCTGTAGATAGCGAAAGAGGTGCTTGACTGCGGCCCAATGAGCAGGTCCAGGGCAGGAGTTGAAGCGAGCAAGGCAGGAGACCGCATACTGGATGTCAGGGCGAGTGGTGATGGCCAGATACATGAGGGAGCCGACTGCATTGAGGTAGGGCTTGTCCTGCATGAAGGTGCGGTCCTCATCACTCTGACAGGCTTGCTGCTTGGAAAGGCGAAGGCCAGGCTCCATTGGAGTCAACACCGCTTTGCAGCTGGTGAGGCCATATCGCTCCAGCATGTCCAGGATGTACTGCCGCTGTGACAGGAACATGGTGCGCTTTTTGCGGTCTCTGGTGATCTCAATGCCCAGCAGGAATGTGGTGGGGCCAAGGTTGCGCAGTTTGAAGTGCTGAGAGAGCTCCTCGACTGTCTTGTCAATGGCAGCGCGCGAGGTGGAGGCCAGAGTGAGGTCGTCCACATGCACAGGGATGATAATGCGCACTTCATCTCGCAGATAGATGTACACACTGCGGTCAGACTCGAGCCGCTTGAAGCCCATGGAGGTGAGCACCTGGTGCAGCTTCTTGTTCCACATGCGGCCAGCCTGTTTGAGGCCATAGATAGGACGGCCTAGACGCAGGACTGTGCCAGGGGGACCTTGAGCAAAGCCTTCAGGTTGCTGCATGTAGATTTCCTCGTCCAAGTCACCCTGTAGGAAGGCAGAGGAGATGTCGACAGAGTGCAGCTCCAGATCCTCAATGGCAGTGAGGGCAAGGACAAGGCGCAGAGCAGCAGGGCGAGAAGTGGGCGCAAAAACCTCGGTGTAGTCGAAGCCAGGCCGCTGTGAGTAGCCCTTGGCCACAAGTCGAGCCTTGTACCGCTCAATTGAGCCGTCAGCATTGTGCTTCACCTTGAAGACCCAGCCGCATCCAATGGCCTTCTTTCCAGCAGGCAGAGGGACTGCATCCCAGGTGTGGTTCGCAATCAGAGAGAGTATCTCATCATTGCAGGCTGTCTGCCACAGTTTGGCATCAGGGGAGTGCATGGCCTCGTGGAAATTGTGAGGGTCAGCACCAGCTGCAAGCCCAGCAAACTGCACTTCGACGAAATCTGCTTCCTCAGCAAACAGGTCGAGGGGATCAGGAGAGTCTTCGCGCTTTGGGGCAGGAGCAGGGACTGGTGCATGCCGTCTTCCCCTGCGAATGGCAATGGGCAGATTGAGGTCGTCCGCTTCAGGAGAGGGTTGGTGCGCAGCTTGTGGCGCAGGAGGTGGCTGAACAGCTTGTGGCACAGGAGGTGCAACTGGTGCAGGAGGTGCAGGAGCTTGGACAGGCACTGGAGCAACTGGAGGAGGTGCTGCTGCAGGAATTGGTGCAATAGGGGCCTGAGGAATGGCAGCAGGCACAAAGTCGTCGTCCCCCCCTTGATCCAGTGCAGGTACAAAGAGAGGGACAGGCTCAGAGGTCGGAGGGTCGACAATGGGAGTGGAAAGTGATGCAGGAGTGCGCCTCAGACCAGGGAAGAGCCGCTCATCAAACTCGGCGCGTTCTGAGATCACCACCTTCCTGGTGTCAGGGCAGTAGAACTTCCAGCCCTTGTAGCCATCAGGGTAGCCTATAAACACGCATTTCTGCATGTGAGGCAACAGACCCTTGCGCTGGTCCTTCTGGATGTGCACATAAGCAGTGCAGCCCCAGACTCGCAGATGCGCCACACCTAGGCTT